GCGGTTCAAGTCACAATAGCAGGCAAGGGCCAGGGTATGTGCAATTGTACAGGCCGTGGTAAGGAGTGCAAATTTTATTTTCAGTGCCTTTAAACGTTAAGAGAATAAAACGACCCAATTTACATTTTTTTAAAAAAGCACTCTGCCTGCATAATAAATATTTTTCAAAGAATGGAGAAATAGGTGGAAAAATGGGAAAAAGGGAGGAGATGAGTAGAAATCCAATGGCTTAGGCCATACTAAGAGTTCTAGGCTTTAAAGGCAAGATAAAGGAAACCTACATATTTTCTTCTAGATTGCCTGATTTGCTAAATACAAGAAAGTAAAGCTCTAGTTATAAATAAAATCAGCACTTGACTAGAGCATTCATTATAGTATATCTCTCAGAATCTGAACATGGTGAACAAAGCACAGAATAAAGAAAGAAAGAACACTCAACACATAAAAAAAATTTCAAAAAATAACAGGGAACTGACCTCAGAACAGAATTAGTTTATTTTCTAACTGAATCTTTGGTATCCACTCTATGGTTTAATAATCTTATCCTGTTATCATTTCTATAATCACAAACCCCTTTTTTTCAATACATTCTATCTAGTATTATATTTCTCATTCTAACACTAACAGCATGCAAGTAGATGACCTCAAGGTATTTGCATTGGAGAGCCCTGTTAGGCTCTGTATGTTTTATATTAATGAAATAACAACACACCTACTGAAAAGGTGCTACAAACATAGGCATCAGGTGTTTAATTAAGCTCATATACTCTGATTCACTACTCTGTTATTAACAAACCTTGGTTCTGGGGATACAACAAGGACTATAACAGGCTTAGTCCTTGCCCTCAAGGTGCTTATAGTTGAATGAAAGCAATTATAATATAGTTGAAGGACACAGTACATTGCTGCAGAAGCACAAAGAGGTAGACAGCTCAGTCATACTGAGGGCTGGTGGGAGTTGTTCTTCCCTGAAGTCTCCGGGAAAACCTGTCTCATTTGCGTCATTTCCTACCAAATCCCTACTCCTCCATCATTCATCCTTACAAAAAAAGTTTAGAAAACTAACGTGAGATTGCCATTTCTCTACGTGATTTGTTCAACCCCAAGTACTGACCTCTAAATCAAGTGCAGATTAATAATCGGATACTTAAAAAAAAAACCTCATTGCTATTTATTTCCTCTATTTTTATATGTTCATGTTTTTTATAAAAGCAATGACATAAAAGAAAAACCAAGAAAATTTGAAAAAATCATGTAGATACATGAAAATTGGCTTCTTTGCACACTAAACTTCTATTCATGCTTCAAATTCAAAATTAAATGTGATCTCCTTTTTTAAAATTCTCCTAGAAGGCAGCAATACTCTCTTCATCCTGTTATATTATGATTATCTTTTTACATGTCATTTTCCTCCATGAGACAAACCCTTTGCAGGGATAGTGATTGTCCTGTTAATGTTCACCTCGCAAAGTCTTGTCTAGGGCGTCTATTAGATATTCAATAAATTTTTGTTGAATAAACAAATGTTTTAATAATGTTATAAATAACTCACCATTCTTTCTCTACTTTAGCATTAACTTATCATTATTTTTAGCATGACATATATGCAGATATTTATTGACACAGTAAAATGTGACAGCAAGATGTGTTTGCTAGTAAAACTTAGAAAGGCATTCCAATGTTCAAGATTTTTAGGCAAGCAGTGCAAGTATCATGGATGGAAGAATTAAAGTGTTTTAAGACTAACACAATAAAAAGTTATACCATGAAATACAGTGGGATAGCAATGAAGACATCTACCCCTCACTCCACCCTCATATTCTGTCAGAGCTCTTATATTAAAAAGCAGTTAAATGTAAGCAACACTCAATCATTATACTTCTTGCCAAAATAATTATGAAATATTATAATTATCTTACCTGTTTTAGAACCCACTGTAAAGCCTTTTCAAAATAATCCCCAATCCATTTTTCAAGATTATTTCTATATTTAGGAGGCTGGTTCCTCAACCAAGATTTAATCAGAGAATTAAGATCCGTCTCTTCATCACTGAAACACATTAACAAACATGTAAGAATCTATTTAGAAAGAAATTGTGAATTTACTTTCAAAATAAATTTCTGCTCCAATAAACATTCTACACATGTACTCTATCTGCTAGTATGTAAGAATTCACTTTATTTACTTCCGTATATGTATGTGTGTATGTATTACTTCTACATATATATACATATTGTGTGTATACATTACTTCTACATATATACACACATACAGGTATATATATATATTATATATATGTCATTTTCTATAAAATAAAGCAAATAAATTTCATCTATATCATTATAAGTATAGATTAAAGAAGAATTACACAACTACAAGTTAGCCGAAAAGTGGTCTAAACCCTTCCTATCCAAAGTGTGGTCTACAGAATCCCAAGTCCCATCCCAGACTTAATGAAGCAAAATCTTCACTTTAACAATATCCCTGGGTGATTCAAATGCACATTAAACTTCAAGTTGCACTGCATCTTAATGCAGATCTTTAAAAGTACTTTTTCTTTTTCTCTGTCCCCAAAAAAGCCAAACACCTAAATTCCCATGCCACTACTGAAACTAGAAGATCATCCTAAAGTAAAATATAATTTTTTTTAGCAAATCATTTAATTATATGAGTAACAACCAATGATTGAAATTAAACATAATATAGACATCTTACTCAAAATTATATGTTGCATATTTATAAAAATTATAGTAAAAACAACTCATAATTAATAATTTTAGAAGTTACAAGGGCTCACAATTTTATCATTTTTCCCATCTTCTACCAGTGTTTCATAGCAACACGAGTAAATACTGAGTCCCTGAATTTCTCCTCCCATATTTCTATCCAGTTTAATAAGCAAAAGAAAAAATGAAAAGATCAAAGGTAAATATTTAAAATACATTTGATAAGCTCAAAACAGACAAAGCAAAGATGCTAAACTCCTTCAGAATAAAGACTTTGTTGTCACAGTATCTCATCAGTGCCCACGGCAACTACATGTCTTGGTTTGTCTAAGACAATCTTGATTTCTATCAGTTATCCCAGCATAATTAATAGCATTCTCTTTCATTATTAAAAGGTCTTCATTTGGCCTATTGCATAGCAAGTGCAAATATCTGCTGAAGAAATGAATAAAACCTAAAACTAAGGTACAATCTAATCAAAAAGCAACTAAAAATAACTAATATGTTTTTGTATTTTACATGAAATCATATATATTCATTATGCCTCTCACAAACAATATCTGGTTCACCAACAATGTTCAAATCCTCTACAGCAACATGTGGCTATACAGGCATATTGCTCTACAATATGGCATTCTACTTACCCCTTATTTCATTTATATTCCAGCTTATAATTGCTGTTATATTTATATTATCTCCTTTGTGAATATATGCTCCATAAAGACAAGCTCTTCATAAATATAAGCCCTTCATAACTGTTAGCTTTACTCCTTTCTTGCTGTCTCTCCCAAAATGCCTAACTTAACATCATATAGGTAATGGGCATTAATAAATATTTTAAAATTTAGTGATAAACTTCCCTTTTATCCTATTTTTCTCACAAGATTATAAGAATACATTGAATAAATAAGATAAATTGTGTGAGATACTGCTATAAAGCTATAAACCCAATGCTGTATTATTTTTTAAATAATTAATACCTCAAAATATTAATTGGGAGTTTATGGCTAGTTTAATATAAATGTTTCCTATAATACTATCAAAGAAGTAAGCAATCAAATAATTTTGGAAACAATCTGAATGAGCTTGATAACCTTACTATGTGTCATATAACATCAAAAATGGTTTCAAATGATTCTAAAAGAGTAGAGAACTTTATATAGACAGATACATATCAAATTCTAAAACATAAATTCAAAAGGTAAAAGAAAACTTTCTAATTACTCATTTCAGGAAGAAACTGGCTCAAATATCCATGTTTTAGTATGTGACTACCATATATGAAATCTAAAATCAGTTTGTTATTTATTTTTGCTCTCCAAGCCTCTTCCAAATACACTGAAGAAAGAAAATATTAAGTAAAGAGGTTTCCAATTTGTAAAACTTCTCTGAACTCAATCATAATATTTAAATAAAAGTTATAGAAAAAAGAAAACAAATTAAATACTTGCTGTTTCTTTTAAGTAAACAAAAAAATAATTATTTAGTAATATTGATACAGCTACACTGCTGAAATAATTCAACTGCAATAAACAGGAACTCTCTGAATGAATTAAAACCTAACAAACAAACAAACAAAAAGAAGTTAATAAGAATGAGGCAAACAAATATTCACACATTACCCATACATCACTTATTTCACTTAGCTGTGAAACCAAAATAATAACTGAAGAATATTCTAATACAGTGTATGCAAATGCTCTCACCTAAGAAAGATCATTCCCATTCTAGATATTGTGGCTGGTGAGGCACAACTTAAATCATGAGTTTCAAATACAAAGTTAACATTTGGGCCAAACTGAATCCTTTCTCCACTGGGCATAGTGAGTAGTCGGTTATCATCCAGAACAGAATTCAGAGATTCTATCCATTCAGGGTCAATATCACCATCACAGATTATCCATGAGCTGACATCTATTTTCAAACAAAAAAAGTAGAGATAAAAATAAATGCAATGATAATAATTAAAAATAAAGAATAAAATAATTATCACTTATTCTTTAGATGTAATTTCGATATTATTTTATACTTCTGAAGCCAAATATAAAGAACAAAAAGTTGAACAAGTTGAAATTTTTCATGTGAATTTACACAATACAAATGTGTGGAGAACCCATGGGCAATCCTGGCTCAGCTGGTCAGAGACCCAGTTATATACTCTGTAATAAGGCTCTATTGATCTATGAACATACAGAACTGGAATCTCAGTGAAAGAAAACATGGTTTGCAAGACCTAGGTATTTCTATTTCCACAAGCTTGTGAGATATTCCTTAGACTTTTGTCTTCTACCATGTCATTAGAATGTATGAATGCTTGCTATGTAATAGCACTTTTAGAAAATATGAGAAACCTACTCCTTAGTGTCCTACGTGAGAAATAAAAAATACACCACCATCAAATTTCTTTGATATATAAAAAGGTGAGTTCAGAAGAGAGAAGCAGTGAACAAGCTGTGTACACAAGTCTTTCCAAAACAAACTGTTTTTAATATATATTTCCTAAGATGAAAGTGGTTTCAAGTTGTTCTTGGACCTTTGAAACAATTCAAAGAAGAAAATATCACCCATAAAAGTGTGAGAAACAAGTACAGGTATATCTGGTTTTTATTTAGTGTGATAATATCAACTACATTGAAAATGAAGACACTATATACTGAAAATTCCTCCCAATGTCTTAAGACATTCTAAACCTTTCATTCACTGGCTTAGAAAAACAACTATTAATTAAATTATGATCTAACAAAAAGCAGGGAGTCTGACCAAGAATTCTGTTAAACACCAAGCCAAAAAATTTAGACCAGAAAGTCTACTATTTTATGACTCAAATTTTCAAAATTATTGAAAGCACTGTATTCAAACTGATAAGTTCAGACACACATACCAATTTTAATCCTAAATAAAAACTTGTTATCTTGCTTATTTATGAGGTATTATAATATCAGTTCAGCAATCAAAGATATGTTTATTCAGTAGATTAATCTAGCTGTAAACTACGTTTCACCCAGATTACTCTGAGTTTCTATTATAATAAAAGTTGCTATGGAATAACAGGTAAAAATGATAGCATGTCTTCACCCCTCCAAAGTAAAATATCAAAGTAGATCATTATACGTCAGTTTATGGTCATGTATAAGACTTGAAAAGGATAGCGTTATAGACAACCTCTACCATCCTCTAAAAATGATTAAATAAATCAATAAATCACACAATAGAGACCAACCTTGAGGTTCTCGAACTACTTGGCGAGCACTATTTGTCAAAACACCATCAGACCATTCCCTTGTATCCATGTCAATATGGCCTAATAACTGATGTCTAGGCATAGCTTTGGGATTCATGGTATATTGTTTTACCACTTTGCCAATTTTACAAAGTGCTGCCCTTAACATTCTCCAAAGAGTTGATTTTCCAGCACCACTTGGGCCAACAATAACAACTCCCATCCTCTGGCGTAACTGTTCATACAATTCTAAAGCCTTCTTGATCTAGTAGAAAAGAAACATGTTCGTATATGATTTATAGTGTACAATCAAACACAGTTCTACTCTCATTCAACAACAGTTGTTCTATTTCAAACATAAATTAAGCCTTTTATTTCTTCAGTGGAAGATAAAGCCTTAAATAAAAGAATTACTAAGTAAATCTGAATATATTTACAACGTGATCTTTAAATTCATATTTCTTTTAAAAAAACAAGTATGCTTTCCAAGTTGACAATACAATATGTTCACTATTGTCTTCACTCACTCATTCATTCAAATAAAATATACTAAATATTTTATTCACTTTGCTAATTCATTCATTCATTTATACCCTGTCTCTCTCCAAAAAATAACCTGAGGAAAAAGTATTCATTTTGAACATGTATTTGTGCAACATAAAAAGACCTACTAAAGTCAAGTTCTCCTAAGAAATTGTCAAAGTTAAACTAAATCATACATAATCAACTATCAAAGACACATATGATGGATCTATTACGTGCCAGGCTCCGTAACAGGCACTAGGAATAAAATGGTAAAACAGACATGGACCCCACCTTTCATGGAGACTACTATCTGGTGGGGGAGAATCAAATATTAATATTAATATTAATCAAATATTAATCAAGTGTGCAACTAAACATTAAATATGTATATACAACAAACGTAAGGAAAGCACATAGCAAGGGGACCTAATTTGGACTTGAAAATTAGGGAAGGCTTTCATGAGTAAGTAAGATTTAAGTTGAAAGATGAAAGATAAGTTGAAAGATAAAAGATAAAGATAGTTAATAAAGAATTAACTAGGAGAAAGGATCAATATATTATGAAGTATTCTTGACAGTTACCTGATTGGATATGATTTCATAGTTGGCCTCCTCAAAGACTTGCTTCAATGCAGCATTCAGTTCATCATATTCTACTTCTTTAAAGTCAATTCCAGGAAACACATCTTTAATCAGTGCATCAAACCGAGTGCAATCAGCAAATGTAAACTTTGACATTGTATTAAGCCTCAGTGCTTGTACCACAATATGACTTTCATTAACTAGAGAAAAAGTTTCATTTTAAAATTATTAGTTATGAATCTAATGACTATAAAAAGTCTTTACGTGCCTTGATATGCATTATTAGTAATTAAATGATGCACTAGAATTTAGTAACATTTAAAGACATATGCTATCATATGAATTGGCAAGCTTACTTAACTATCTTTTAACTGCTGAAAAACAAGTATTACTGAGTTTTGGACTATTTTTCATAGAATTTGAATCCCAGGGTACCCAGACTTTAATTAATAATAAAAATCATTAACACATTTCTTTGCATAGTACTTTACCATTCTGATGTAATCCTTATAACAACTGTATAAAGGAAGTATTTCTATTATTATTCTAATTTTACACATGAGACCATTAAGTCTCTAAGGGTTTAAATGACTTATCTGAGAGAGCTCAGCATTAAGTTTTATAGGTGGGATTTAATTCCAGATTTAGGTATCTTTCCAAATATACCAGCATATTTGCCTCGCAGAGATTTTTATCCTAAAACTAAAAACTAAAAAACTGAGCAAAACTCTTGGATCAGTGTTGCTCAAAACTTGTTCATAAATCTATTCTTAAACCAAATGTAAATACTAATATTGCCAGATTCTTATTTTTTCAAGGATATTAGCTATTAATTGATCAGATACCTATATAAAGGCAAGAAACTATTTTTAGTATGGTATTTCTCTATAATTGTTTAATATTTCTATCTTCAAATATATATAAAGAGGCTTGGCTGCACTAGAGTTTATTTAAAGCACTGAACTCATAAGTAAGCCATCTTTATTTACTACAGGTATGGTTTATATATTTCATGAAAAACACCAGAGACAGACAACTGAAAAATGGTAATCTAAGTACTTCAACAAATACCTTATCTGCCCTGGTATATGCCAACCTAATAAAAAAGCTGTAGTTTCCTTTTTTAAGATGTATATTTTGATCATTTAAAGTCCTAATAGGTAATTTCATGTAGTCTTCTTTCTTATGTTATCTTATTTTCATGGTGATTTAACTTAAATTTTAATAGCAACCTAGAGGCTGAATATTCAGCCTTCCATGAAGGCAAACATCAATTGGTGGGGGTAATAACTTACTTTATATAAATGGGGAAAAAAAGGGGTAAAGTATAAAAAAAAATGCATGAGTCCATACTGATCTGAATAAATGATTTAATAAATACTCCATGGAAAAGAAGAGACAAATCTTTACGGAAGAGTTTCAAATAATATATGCAGATACTGCCCCCCTCTAAGAGGTGGAGCTTAATCTATGCCTCCCCACTTTCAAGGTGAGCTAGATTTAGTAACTGGCTTCCAAAGAAAAGAGTCGGGAAAGGGGAAAATAACAACTTTACAGTAGAGAAACCTGGCAAACATTAACATAAGTAATGAAGGTGAACATCACCAGTGATGTCAAATGGTTATTATGTACCCACTAAAATGAATTAAAAAGGGTACTCCACCTCTGCAGTATTTTTTTCCAAATGTTCACAACTCAATTAAATCATGAGTTAAATATCAGAAAAAAACCCAGACTGAGGAAGAGTCTACATGATATCTGACTAGGACCCTGTCAGGGTCATGAATACAAAAACAGGCTGAGAAACTATCACAGAGCAGCGGAGACTTAAGGAGACATGACAACTTAATGCAACATGGCACCCTAGATTCAATCTTGGAACAGAAAGAGGACATTAATGATAAAGCAGGTGAAATTCAAATAAAGTCTGGAGCTTAGTTAATAGTAATGTACCAGCCTCAGTTTCCCAGTTTTGACAAATGTACCACAGCAAATAATAGGGAAATGATGGAAATGCTAACTTCGCAACTTTACTGTAATAAATCTAAAATTATCCTTTGCTCCAAGGTACTTTGGGGACTTCCCTGGTGGTCCAGTGGGTAAGACTCCACACTCCCAACACAGGAGGCCTGAGATCATTCCCTGTTCGGGGAACTAGATCCCGCATGGATGCTGCAACTAAGAGTGAGTTCACATGCCACAACTAAGAAGCCCGCATGCCACAACGAAGAAGCCAACATGCCGCAACTAAAAAACCCACATGCCGCAACAAAAAGATCCCGTGTGACATAACGAACATCCTGCGTGCTGCAACTAAGACCCAGAGCAGCTTCAATAAATTAATTAATTTTAAAAAAGGTACTTTTTTGTAATCTTAAAATGTTTCTTTAAAAGGGTAATATTGGAGCCTGAACCAAGATGGGGGAGTAGAAGGACGTGCTCTCACTCCCTCTAGCGAGAACATGAGAATCACAACTAACTGCTGAACAGTCATCAACAGGAAGACACTGGAAATCACCAAAAAAGATACCCCATATGCAAAGACAAAGGAGAAGCCACAATGAGACAGTAGGAGGGGCACAATCACAGTAAAATCAAATCCCATAACTGCTGGGTGGGTGACTCACAGACTGGAGAACACTTATACCACAGAAGTCCACCCACTGGAGTGAAGGTTCTGAGCCCCACGTCAGGCTTCCGAACCAGGAGGTCTGTCAATGGGAGGAGGAATTCCTAGAGAATCAGACATTGAAGGCTAGTGAGATTTGATTGCATGACTCTGACAGGACTGGGGGAAACAGAGACTCCACTCTTGGAGGGCACACACAAAGTAGTGTGCACATCGGGACCAAGGGGAAGGAGCAGTGACCCCAGGAGAGACTAAACCAGACCGACCTGCTAGTGTTGGAGGGTATCCTGCAGAGGCGGTGGGTGGCTGTGGCTCACCATGAGGACAACGACACTGGCAGCAGAAGTTCTGGGAAGTACTCCTTGGCTTGAGCCCTCCCAGAGGCCACCATTAGCCCCACCAAAGAGCCTGCAGGTTCCAGTGTTGGCTTGCCTCAGGGCAAACAACCAACAGGGTGGGAACCGAGCCCCACCCATAAGCAGACGAGTGGATTAAAGTTTTACTGAGCTCTGCCCACCAGAGCAACATCCAGCTCTACCCACCACCACTCCCTCCCATCAGGAAACTTGCACAAGACTCTTAGATAGCCTCAACCAGCTGAGGGCAGACAGCAGAAGCAAGAACTACAATCCTGCAGCCTGTGGAACAAAAACCACATTCACAGAAAGATAGACAAGATGAAAAGGCAGAGGGCTATGTACCAGATGAAGGAACAAGATAAAACCCAAGAAAAACAACTAAGTGAAGTGGAAATACACAACCTTCCAGAAAAAGAATTCAGAATAATGATAGTGAAGGTGATCCAGGACCTCGGAAAAAGAACGGAGGCAAAGATTGAGAAGATGCAAGAAATGTTTAACAAAGACCTAAAAGAATTAAAGAACAAACAAACAGACTGAAAAATACAATAACTGAAATGAAAAATACACTAGAAGGAATCAATAGCAGAATAACTGAGGCAGAAGAACGGATAAGTGAACTGGAAGGCAGAATGGTGGAATTCACTGACACAGAACAGAATAAAGAAAAAAGAATGAAAAGAAATGAAGACAGCCTAAGAGACCTCTAGCACAAGATTAAACACAACAACATTCACATTATAGGGGTCCCAGAAGGAGAAGAGAGAGAGAAAGGAGCCGAGAAAATATTTGAAGAGATTATAGTCAAAAACTTCCCTAACATGGGAAAGGAAATAGCCACCCAAGTCCAGGAAGCACAAAGAGTCCCATACAGGATAAACCCAAGGAGAAACATGCCAAGACACATAATAATCAAATTGGCAAAAATTAAAGACAAAGAAAAATTATTGAAAGCAGCAAGGGAAAAATGACAACATACAAGGGAACTCCCATAAGGTTAACAGCTGATTTCTCAGCAGAAACTCTACAAGCCAGAAGGGAGTGGCATGATATACGTAAAGTGATGAAGGGGAAGAACCTACAACCAAGATTACTCTATCAGCAAGAATCTCAGTCAGATTTGCTAGAAAAATGAAAAGCTTTACAGACAAGCAAAAGCTAAGAGCACCCACCACCAGACCAACTCTACAACAAATGCTAAAGGAACTTCTCTAAGTGGGAAACACAAGAGAAGAAAAGGACCTATAAAAACAAACCCAAAACAACTAAGAAAATAGTCATAGGACCATACATATCGATAATTACCTTAAACGTGAATGGATTAAATGCTCCAACCAAAAGACACAGGCTTGCTGAATGGATACAAAAACAAGACCCATATATATGCTGTCTACAGGAGACACACTTCAGACTTAGGGACACATACAGACTGAAATTGGGGGATGGAAAAAGATACTCCATGCAAATGGTAATCAAAAGAAAGCTGGAGTAGCAATACTCATATCAGATAAAATAGACTATAAAATAAAGAATGTTACAAGAGACAAGGAAGGACACTACATAATGATCAAGGGATCAATCCAAGAAGAAGCTATAACAATTATAAATATATATGCACCCAACATAGGAGCACCTCAATACATAAGGCAACTGCTAACAGCTATAAAAGAGGAAATCGGCAGTAACACAATGATAATAGGGGACTTTAACACCTCACTTACACCAACGGACAGATCATCCAAAGTGAAAATAAATAAGGAAACAGAAGCTTTAAATGACACAATAGACCAGAGAGATTTAATTGATATTTATAGGACATTCCATCCTAAAACAGCAGATTACACTTTCTTCTCAAGTGCACATGGAACATTCTGCAGGATACATCACATCTTGGGTCACAAATCAAGCCTCAGTAAATTTAAGAAAATTGAAATCATATCAAGCATCTTTTATGACCACAACGGTATAAGATCAGAAATGAATTACAGGGAAAAAAAACATAAAAACTACGAACACATGGAGGGTAAACAATATATTACTAAATAACCAAGAGATCACTGAAGAAATCAAAGAGGAACTCAAAAAATACTTAGAGACAAATGACAATAAAAACATGACGATCCAAAACCTATGGGATGCAGCAAGAGCAGTTTAAGAGGGAAGTTTATAGTTATACAAGCCTACATCAAGAAACAAGAAAAATCTCAAATAAACAATCTAACTTTACACCTAAAGGAACTAGAGAAAGAAGAACAAACAAAACCCAAAGTTAGCAGAAGGAAAGAAAGCATAAAGATCAGAGCAGAAATAAATGAAATAGAAAGAAAGACAACAATGACAACAATAGCAAAGATCAATAAAACTAAAAGCTGGTTCTCTGAGAAGATAAACAAAATTGATAAACCATTAGCCAGACTCATCAAGAAAAAGAGGGAGAGGACTCATATCAACAAAATTAAAAATGAAAAAGGAGAAGTTACAACAGACACCACAGAAATACAAAGCAACCTAAGAGACTACTACAAGCAACTCTATGCCAATAAAATGGACAACCTGGAAGAAATGGACAAATTCTTAGAAAGGTATAACCTTCCAAGACTGAACCAGGAAGAAATAGAAACTATGAACAGACCAATCACAAGTAATGAAATCGAAACCGTGATTAAAAATCTTCCAAAAAACAAAAGTCCAGGACCAGATGGCTTCACAGGTGCATTCTATCAAATATTTAGAGAAGAGCTAACATCCATCCTTCTCAAACTCTTCCAAAAAATTGCAGAGGAAGGAACACTCCAAAACTCATTCTTTAGGGCCACCATCACCGTGATACCAAAACCAGACAAAGATACTACAAAAAAAGAAAATTACAGACAAATATCACTGATGAATACAGATGCAAAAAGCCTCAACAGGGCTTCCCTGGTGGTGCAGTGGTTGAGAGTCCTCCTGCCAATGCAGGGGACACGGGTTCGTGCCCTGGTCTGGGAAGATCCCACATGCCACGAAATGGCTGGGCCTGTGAGCCATGGCCGCTGAGTCTGCGCGTCTGGATCCTGTGCTCCACAACAGGAGAGGCCACAGCAGTGAGAGGCCCGCATACCACAAAAAAAAAAAAAAGCCTCAACAAAATACTAGCAAGCAGAATCCAACAACACATTAAAAGGAACATACACCATGATCAAATGGGATTTATCCCAGGGATGTAAGGAGTCTTCAGTATAAGCAAATCAATCAATGTGACACACCATATTAATAAATTGAAGAAGAAAAACCATACGTTCATCTCAATAGATGCAGAAAAATCTTTTGACAAAATTCAACACCCATTTATGAGAAAAACTCTCCAGAAAGTGCACATAGAGGGAACCTACCTCATCATAATAAAGGCCATATACGACAAACCCACAGCAAACATCATTCTCAATGGTGAAAAACTGAAAGCATTTCCTCTAAGATCAGGAACAAGACAAGGATGTCCACTCTCACCACTATTATTCAACATAGTATTGGAAGTCCTGTCCACGGCAATCAGAGAAGAAAAAGAAATAAAAGGAATACAAATTGGAAAGGAAGAACTAAAACTGTCACTGCTTGCAGATGACATGATACTATACATAGAGAATCCTATAGATGGCACCAGAAAACTACTAGAGCTAGTCAATGAATCTGGTAAAGTTGCAGTATACAAAATTAATGCACAGAAATTTCTTGCATTCCTTTATAGTAATGATGAAAAATCTGAAAGAGAAATTAAGGAAACACTCCCATTTATCATTGCAACAAAAAGAATAAAATACCTAGGAATAAACCTACCTAGGGAGACGAAAGACCTGTATACAGGAAACTATAAGACACTGATGAAAGAAATTGAAGAAGATACAAATAGACAGAGAGATATACCATGTTCTTGGATTGGAAAAATCAATATTTTGAAAATGACTATCCTACCCAAAGCAATCTATAGACTCAATGCAATCCCTATCAAATTACCAATGGAATTTTTTACAGAACTAGAATAAAATATCTTAAAATTTGTACGGAGACACAAAAGACCCCAAATAGCCAAAGCAGTCTTGAGGGAAAAAAGCGGAGCTGGAGGAATCAGACTCCGTGACTTCAGACTATACTACAAAGCTATAGTAATCAAGACAATATGGTACTGGCACAAAAACAGACACAAAGATCAATGGAACAAGATAGAAAGCCCAGAGATAAACCCATGCACCTATGGTCAGTTAATCTATGACAAAGGAGGCAAGGATATTCAATGGAGAAAAGACAGTTTCTTCAATAAGTGGTGCTGGGAAAACTGGACAGCTACATGCAAAAGAATGAAATTAGAACACTCCCTAACACCATACACAAAAATAAACTCAAAATATATTAGAGACCTAAATATAAGACTGGATACTATAAACCTCTTAGAGGAAAACATAGGAAGAACACTCTTTGACATAAATCACAGCAAGATCTTTTTTGATCCACCTCCTAGGGTAATGGAAATAAAAACAAAAATAAACAAATGGGACCTAATGAAACTTAAAAGCTTTTGCACAGCAAAGGAAACCATAAACAAGACGAAAAGACAACCCTCAGAATGGGAGAAAATATTTGCAAATGAATCAATGGACAAAGGGTCAATCTCCAAAATATATAAACAGCTCATGCAGCTCAATATTAAAAAACAAACAACCCAATCCAAAAATGGGCAGAAGACCTAAATAGACATTTCTCTGAAGAAGACATACAGATGGCCAAGAAGCACATGAAAAGCTGCTCAACATCATTAATTATTAGAAAAATGCAAATCAAAACTACAATGAAGTATCGCCTCACACCAGTTAGAATGGGCATCATCAGAAAATCTACAGACAACAAATGCTGGAGAGGGTGTTGAGAAAAGGGAACCCTCTTGCACTGTTGGTGGGAATGTAAATTGATACAGCCACTATGGAGAACAGTATGGAGGTTACTTAAAAAACTAAAAATAGAATTACCATATGATCCAGCAATCCCACTACTGGGCATATACCCAGAGAAAACCATAATGCAAAAAGACACAAGCACCCCAATGTTCATTGCAGCACTATTTACAATAGCCAGGTCATGAAAGCAACCTAAATGCCATCGCCAGACAAATGGATAAAGAAGTTGTGGTACATATATACAATGGAATATTACTCAGCCATAAAAAGGAATTAAATTGGGTCATTTGTAGAGATGTGGATGGATATGGAGACTGTCATACAGAGTGAAATAAGTCAGAAAGAGAAAAGCAAATATCGTATATTAACGCATATATGTGGAACCTAGAAAAATGGTACAGATGAAGCAGTTTGCAGGGCAGAAGTTGAGACAGAGATGTAGAGAACAAACTTATGGACACCAAGGGGGGAAAGCGGCTGGGGGTGGTGGTGGAGGTGGTGGTGTGATGAATTGGGAGATTGGGATTGACACGTATACACTGATGTGTATAAAATTGATGACTAATAAGAACCTGCTGTATAAAAATATATATATAATTAAATTTAAAAATTCAAAAAAAAAAAGTAAAAGGGTAATTTTGTTTGGTATACTATCTTTAAAAGAGAAAATCTCCATGTGTTTCTAAGGATTCTGTTCTTGTCTTAAGACTAGACAAATTTTCAGATTCTATTCCAGACCTACCAATTCAGGAACTTTGGGTGTGGGGTCCAACAATCTGTTTTTTAAAAAGCCTCTAGGTGACTCTAATGCCTGTTAAAGATTGAGCACAAGTGGACTAGACTATTCCTCTATATACCACAACTATTAAATATTTAATGCATGTTTAAAAGTTATGATGAGACATAGGTAAAAATTAGGAAAAAATCTCAATAAATTATGGACTTTATTAAAAAATTATGAATCAATGTTGGTTCATTAGTTTCAATAAATGTACAATACTAATGTAAGATGTTAACAACAGGAGAAACTGGGAGAACGTAATATTCAGAAACCCTCTATACTATATGTATAACTTTTATATAAATCTAAAACTATACTAAATTAAAACTTATTTTAAAAAATAAGATTATAATTGGCATAATGAATCATACCTTTTTGTTTAACACTAGTTTTCTTCAGCTGTCTAAGAAGATTTCCACTTCCTCTCAGAACTGTCTTCAAAGCTCTCAAACCCCAGTCATAATGTTGCTGAGGTGTCAAAAGTTCTCTTAGGTAAAGACATGGAAATCATAAATCATCAAATAGCTATAAGAAATTATTTTTGTAATCATATTAAAAGAAATATAGAATCTAACTACTAACACATAGAAATAATTCCTAATATTACATTAGTTTATGAAAAGGAACAGAGCAACACAAAATAATCACTCAAGTAAACTGTTAAAGATGGATGGTTCTCAAGGATCAGGATAAACCTTTCACAAACTGGCTATCATCTTAATGAAGACACTAAATGATAACCACCTGTTACTTTTATTCCTAAAGTCTTTAATCAATCCATCTTGCTCTCAATCTCTGACACTCTAGTTCTGTCTCTTAAGTAATATGGACCAGAGTTCTAGGTTGCCCAAAGAAGCTAAAAGTCAATCTCTATTACTAGAAATCAGACATAAAAAAAAAAAAAAAATTGTAAAAGATTCCCTCCAAACAACAGTAGGCTTTGAGTGGTCAGCTGGTAAATTAGTTTAGTAAGTATCATTTAGCTGGAGTACTCCAATAAAAATATTTTGCAGAAAAAACGTGAAATTGAATTAATAGTATTTATGAAAAACAAGCAGTTTTGAGCCAAACGTTTCTGTTATTCAAACTAAAATCTTTCTTACCAACACCTTGAGTACAATACAAAATTGTACTTATGAAAATCGCCAATATGAAAATCACTGAATAGGTAAATTGGACAAATGTGAAAAATGGTCATTAATAACCCTGATCAATCATGGAACTATAAAATATTAAAATATTTAAAACAGGAAAACTCACCTGGATAGATTGAAGATAGCTACCAATTTTCTGCCCAACACCTTAGCATCTTTAAAGCCTTCTGAATAGAGAATAACTTCTGCAATAAGCTCATTGTCTGGACGAGACATGGCTACTGGCCTGAAAAGCTGTTTAAGATTATCAGGCAGTTTTTGTCTTCCTCCATAACCTTTTCCAGCAGGATTCATAGTGATAAAAATTCCAGAATTAGAATTTATTTCTACCTGGAATATTAATTTAAAACATAGGCATCAAATACTTGAAACTGTAACTATAAAACATATTGCAAATAGAAGTTTTATTGTGACATATTTCTACACATACATCTTATACCTTAGCAAAAAGCAACCACTAGTGCGCTAAACATCTCCTTACTCAACATATAATAAACTCCTTAGGAACTACACTACTTTATAGAGGCTCTTTATAATCAGTTTTTTGAGGCTGAAAGTTTAAGTGATGGTAACTAGTTTGAATGTCTATTCATTCATTCAACATATGTTTACTAAAAGCCTTCCTTGTGTTAGGCACTTTGCTAAGTACACAGAGACAACACAACTCTGAACTAAAGTCAGTAATAGTTTATGCCCTTCTGGAGTTTATAGTCTATTGAATATTTGAAAGAAGCAATCATAGTTAATAAATGCTATAAGAGCAAAATATCATGAGAGTACCTAATAGGAGCATTTTCAACAAAGCACTAAGAATAGAAAGGCAGAATTATAATGTACAAACAATGAATGGGCAATAAGGAAGTAGAAATACCTAGAGTAAAAAACCTGGCTAGAAAGGAAAGAAAACAAAAAGTGTGGTTGGAAGGAAAGATGAATTAAGGGAAGGTTTGCTTATGTTTTAATTATACTAAACATTATATTACAGTATCATTATATCTAATATAATATTAGATATTATTAAGAAGGAAAATATGTGATTATGTTTAAAAGCCAATGAGAAATGAGTAGAAGGACAGAGATAACTCTGAAGAGAAGGTCCCTTGGAAGCAGATTCCAAAGTATAGATGGAAAAATTAGTTTGAGTTGGGAAAAAGGACAATTTTTCTTTCTAAGAGGAGGAACTGACAAAAAATGAACAGGGAAGAAAATAAACTTTGATGACAGAGAGGTAAAAACTGAAGAATTTCTCTTTTCTTTGTTAAGAAATAGTTGAAACATCATGTAAGTAACAGGCAAGTTAGAAGGGGTCCTACTTTCTTGGTCTACCCTGAAAAACTTGTATTGGAAAAATATTATGGGGAAGAGGATAATTTCACAGTTCTTTCAACTTGCAGTGTATTCACCATTACACATTATATAGAGAAATCTATGTTTTATATACAAATAAGTTTAAGTTCTAATGACATGAATGTATACCTCCTATGGGGAGAAGTGAGCAACAGAATAGTTAAGTATTTATTGTTTTAAGATTCATATAGAATAGTGATTAAAAACATGAATTTCAGAATTAGACAGACGTGGGTTCAATTTCCAGCTCCACTTCTTACATTTAACATATCAAGCCCTAGTCTCCTCATCCATAAAGTTAAAAAAATATAATAGTACCTAACTCAAAGGATTGTTATGAGTACTAAATGAAACAATGCATAAAAGCACTAAGCACAATGGCATAGAGTGTTTGATAAATGTTAGCAAATATTATTATAACTGGATTATTCAATATCAAAAGTTTGAAGATGGGGCTTCCCTGGTGGCTCAGTGGTTGAGAGTCCGCCTGCCGATGCAGGGGACACGAGTTCATGCCCCGGTCTGGGAAGATGCCACATGCCGCAGAGCGGCTGCGCCCGTGAGCCATGGCCTCTGAGCCTGCACGTCCGGAGCCTGTGCTCCGCAACGGGAGGAGCCGCAACAGTGAGAGGCCCGCGTACCGCAGAAAAAAATAAAAGTTTGAAGATGAATCGTGGAAATGGGACCCAAAAAGGGTGAGAAACTCAGAGACAATTCACAGGTAAAAAGGTTTAACACACTGGTCACAAATTAGAAACAGAGGTGCCAGGAGAAATAAAGATAGACTGTTTGCCTGTGTATGAGTAATGCAAAGTCTTATAAAATAGTTTAATTCTTTAAATTCCCAATATATGCTATACCTCCTTGCCAAGCAGTTCACATACAGTTCTATGATTCTTCAAAGCATCTTGAATTGTCTGGATTTGCATAGAAACTGCTGACAGTACAGATTCTTCTAGTCTATTGAATTCATCAAAACAACCCCAGGCCCCACACTTCACCAAACCAACAAATATTCGTCCCATTGACTTCACATCGATGCCCTTAAAAATAACAATAAAAATTATATTCAATAAAAGTAATTAAAATCTCTAATAATAATTTAATACTTTATGTCATTTAGTGAGAAGGTAATCATTTCACCCATCTATACCTCTTTAGTTCTTTTTTAAGCAGAGATTAAATAGCTACTCTTTCAAAACCTAGGATGGTTTCAAGGAGTAAACAAAATAATTCACGTGAAAGTGTTCTGAAAAGTACACAGAACTAAACAAGTATAAGATTTTGTTTCAGTTATTCTTTAAGTTAAAATACACACAATGTTTTGAAAATGGTAACTTAATAAGAATTTAAGATTTTTCCTCTAATATAAAGCTTCATTCTGTATTTAAAATTATTTCTATGTAATAGTTCTCTTTAGAAAAGTTTTTGGACTACACTATGTGAAACCTCTCTCCATTTTATTGCTCAAATAAAATCCACTTTCAAATGATTTAAAAGAAGAGTGATTTTAAAATAGAGCATTTCATATGTAAGTATGTGAAAACTATTCCAAACATCTAAGACACTATTATATTGTTTGATAATTATTTATTCTACCTCATCACAATTAAAAACTAAAACTTGTCTTCCAAGAAGTCCACCTAAAGCCTTTACTGATTCAGTTTTTCCAGTTCCAGCTGGTCCGTAAGGATTTCCTCCAAGTCCCATCTTCATGGCTTGAGTGAGAGTTAAGTAGCACTTGTCTGTCAGTGGAGTGTAAACCAGCTTGGGAGCATTACCCTACACAAGAGAAATATAAATTTCAAATATTCATATTCTATTCAATACTTACAAATATTATATAGTGTAGTTAAATAGCAATTCTAGTTAAAAAGTTAAAAAGGCAAAAAATAGTTTAAAGTTGTTAACATAGATAAAATATACAAAAATTTTTTTAGTAATTCAAGAAACTTTCTAAAGCACAAACTGGAATTAAACTTAGTTATTTCTCAAGCATGTATTTTATTCTATGCTCAATTGACATACTGTCAGGTTTTCCAAATAGTCTCTCAAGTTCTTGATAATGTCACAAAGATATACCTCTAAGGCAGACAAATCCAGAAACTGTATACAATTATATACTTTCCAATACAATTCAATATAATTATGTACAATAATCATCCTACTTGTATTTTAAAATTCATGCAAATTACTTCCTGGAATCTTACAATCTTCAAAAATCAGAACTACTTTGGAAACCTCAAAGTATAATTAATTTGAAAAACTCCTTATGAAATTAATAATCTTAACCTATCAAATAATTCTCAAAATTTCTACTAAATTTTAGCAGAAATAGAGTCCAATTCAAGCTGCATTTTATAGAGTTTTTCTTTAATTTAGGTGGACAGATTTGGGTCTCAAAATACATTTCCTTTTTGAAAGAGCTAGCTGGCAACCCTCTTGACATATGCTTATTAACATAAATGTCAAATATATCCTTATGATTGATTCACTATGATGGAAAAAGGAAGAGAGGATACAGCTGGATTTTTTGAGAACAGGTTACATGAGCTAGGTTATTTGCTTGAAAATTCTTTTACCTTACAAACTGAGAATATTTAACAAACATACTTTGACACATTAACAATTGCGCTAATTTTGGCCTTGTAAAAGGAGGCACAAACCAAATTGTTTCCACTGAGGTTGCCTAATATTCAATTCTCTTTAGATAAAAGCTATATTTCAATCTGTATAAATAAATGCTGCTCTAAGAAAAGGTACATTTAGAGAATTTAGCACAACACTGCCATTATTTTAACTTTTTTTGTATATAGAATTTTTTCCAATATAACATCTTTTTAATTATGATGAAATAGAAGACAATAACACAAAAAAATTCTTAAAAGTTACAGCTAAAATAAAAATAACTCTTTCACCCAATAGCAAATTTCCTTTAAAGTAAATAATTTCTAACTGGAAAAATTAAACATTTCTGCCACAAGTCATACCTGGTACTCATAAGTATACTGAAGTTCAGAATCCACCATTTGAACGTAACATGTGTGATCGCTTTTCATATAGAATCTAACTTGTTTTTTCCAAGCCCAGTCTTCAGTTGTATGAACTTGAACTTGGTTTAACTGCTTCACCACATCAATATTATGAATAATATCAAGAATAAGTGCTTTAAGTTTAAGCTCCAGAATGCCAAATTCTGTATACAATTAAAATAATTGGGGAAAATGTTAGCCTGTGATTTATGTACTTTATGATTTTATATATATACACACACACACATGATTTCTCAATAAATGAATTTAAATGGTAATTTCGTGATACATTTGAATAGTATAGTAATATATATCATGCAAGTCAAAAGAATGTCAAATCCACCAATAAGAATTGTGTGTGTGAAAACTAAGATACTAAAATTCAATGAAACCAGGGTTCTGGTTCCTTATGCAAGGGAGTAAACACACTCAGCCTGTCTCTCCCTCTGAATGCAGGTATAAAACACGGACAACATACATTGAACTGCTATTTAGGACTCTGAAAAAGTAAAGAGTATCAGGCAAATTGGGGAAGGGCAGAATTAGAAGTGCCACCAAACCAGTGGTAAATTTACCTTTTTTCTTTTTCTTTTTCCTCTCTTATATCCATGGGCTTGGATTCAATGCTGCCAGAAACCCATACTGGTGTAGATAGAGAGAGGTCCAGGAGAAGGCTTTTAACTGAGACTTGAAAAGCAGAAAAGGAGTCTCAGCGCTGGCAGCTGAGACCCAGAAATGCCTAAAACTCTGAAGGAAGGGAACTGTCCTCTGAAATCAGAGGAGCTATGATCCCAAGACAGTGGTACTAACTTAAATTGCTCTTTTTCTCTCTTTTCTCCCATCAACTGGTCCAAGACATGGGCACAGTCACAGAAAGTGTGAAGGAGAGTACAGTACATGAAACTCCAGCTTTCTGGCCAGAGGACCAAAAGAGGTGCCCAAGGGAACCATAAAATCACTGCTAAGACCATGGAAGGGGAGAAGATTGGGAAAATGACCCTATAAACTTTATGAACTCTTGAGCTCAGCCTGAGCTGTGCAGACCTCATCCTAAACATTAAACCAAAGACTTTGATAACTGGCCACTAGGTGGCACACATGTGGGGAAGATCTCAAGAGTATAGCAAAGACAGAACAGACATTGGAACCACAACCCACAGAAAGCTGGCTGAAACTTGTGGCCTGAACCCCACAAGATCACTTGCTAACAGAAAAATATCAACATTATCCAGCAAATTTAAATAAGACTCAGACTCTTATAACACAATATTCAAAATGTCCAGGATACAATCCAAAATCATTCAACATGAAAAGAACCAAAAAAAATCAACTCACATCAGAAAAGACAATAATAAAGGTGAAATGAAGACATTCTCAAGAGAAGGAAATCTATAAGATTCACAGTCAGCAAACGGGCTCTAAAAGAAACACTAAAGAAAATTCTTCAAAGAAAGAAAATGACAGCAGAAGGAAACTTGGAGCATCAGGATGAAGGATGGGCAACAGAAATGGTAAGCATCTAGATAAATATAATAGACTATTCTCAGGTCCTTTAAATACATTTGACGGTTAAAGAAAAAAATTATAATCTCATGGAGTTTTCAATGTATACAGATATCTATAACATTGAAAACAACATAAAAAGGGGAGGATAAAGAAACCCATATGGTGGTAAGGTTTCTATATTCCACTTAAAATAGTAAATTATTGATTCTAAGTACAATATAAAAGTATGTATATTGTAATCCCTAAAGTAACCTCCAAAATAGACACATAGACGATTGATTGACAGACAAAAGCACAATAGATAAATTAAGATAGAATACTAAAAAAATGTTCAAATAACCCAAAAGTAGGCAGAAAATGGAATATTTTCCCATACCAGTATTCCCTGGATCCGCAGAACTTGTATCAATGTTAGTATAGTGCTCTAACTTATTCACCAGTTGTGCTTCAATCTGATGAAGACTATGATCTTTGATGGCATTTTCTACATCTTCAGTGAATTTAATCTGCTCTGCCAAGCATAATATCTAATGAATAAAGAGAAAAATTATTTTTTAAAGCTGAATTTACTTATAAATATTTTATAAATTTAAGGAAAGATACCTTTTTTCAAATTTCCAAATACATATTGGACCTCTCTACCTGAATGTCTTACTGGCACCTCATATATTAATAGAGCAATACATTTGTAGAAAAAGCATGTGTGATGCAGCCCAAGCTTACTTCTCAGAGCTCATCTTTTACTATTCTCCTATAGGCCTACTTTTGGGTCTTAGAGCCCACCAAGCTTATTATAACCTAAGTGCTTTGTACTTTCTTCCCATGACTCTCCTCATAAATGGCTTCTTTTTAACCAGTAAGATGCAAAGATATCAGAGTATGATGCATTCTATTTAATAAAAAGAGTAATCTTCTAGCATTCCAAAATAATCTCTCAGTATACTACTGAAGTATACAATTTCAAAACACCAATTTTATCCTAAATTAAAGTCTGTCTTAATCTTTCAGTCTAATACCCATAAACAGAAACTAAATATAGATCAACTTCATGTTTACATAAAATATGAAATATTAGTACCGTTTGAGAGGATTTCTATAATATTATCAATATAGCAAGGTTACTGATAAAGCAAATAATACATTTAAACACCAGATTTTGTAAACTTGTATTAAAATACTTTGATACAGTTCTTAGATGAACAAGGAAAACCAATAACCTCCTTTAAACTAAAGACATGATCCATCATCATATAAAAACACTAAACCTACTGACCAATTAACTACCGAACAGAATTTTTTTTCTTATATATACCTTTTAGCATCCAGAAAATATCATCAAATGCCTCTGTTTATCAGATTAATCCATTATCTATATATAATTTTAATACTTAATATAGCAGGCTAAGCTGCTGTTTGCTCTTAGAACATTGTACAAATACCACATTAAGTTCTTTAACAAAAGAGAAAGCCAATTAGTAACTTTGCAGGGCAAAGTCACCTCTCATACATTGTAGTACAAAACTCACCAGCTTCTTTAATCAAGTATATGGTGAAGTGTTTAAACAGATCCAAATCTGCTTTGTGAGAAAAGACTTTGCTTTTTAATTCTCATATGAAAATCTTCACTTGCCACCTTGAAACTAATACTCATATATATGGATTTCCACTCAGGCAATACTACTGAATTTCTGTATTATAAATAAATTTTAATAATAATGCACATCGATATCTCAATTTTTAACAGTCTGCTATACAATTTCTATGAGAGGCTAACAGAAATGACGCTCAAGATACAGTCTTAACTAATTCTCGTGTCACATTACCATTAAGATACCTGGACAAACACTAACATTGTCTAAAATGTAATGGTCGCTAAGGGTGCTCTGCAAACATTATATAATTTAACCTTCAAAATGAGTTGCCATGGAGGTATTATTATACCCTCTTAACTAAGTGTCAAAAGGAATCACTCAAAGTATAACTGGAAAAGGTAGGATTTGAACCAAGGACTGTCAGATTTTTTCTACTTTATCATGCTGCCTCCTTCCCAGACCAGAAAGTGCTTTCTCTACATTATTTCAGGTCCTTACAAAGATGTCTTTAGAGAACTGAATTAATAGTACACAGTAACCTGTACCAGACATTCATGTAACCAGTTATACTATTCAATCCCCTTACATAAATGCTCTTGAGATAATTTTTTCTTAACATTAACTGCTAATAAACTAGAATTCTTTGTTTTGATAGATTATGAACTGTATACATGTTTAGTAGTTCATATTTTTACTTGACTGCTCAGAGCCCAGAACTAAGTTTCAGGCTCAAATCCAGCAACATTCTTTAGCCTGTAGCTCCCAGTATATCTCCTGATATAACGGTCATTTCCTCAATCTAATTATTATGCAATTCTTACTTTTGTATATTTTTTAATATTGTGTCTTTTACTCTAAGTCAATTTAAATCCTACCTGGAAGTTGACAGAGTACTAGGAAACATTTCCAGAGATAATAAAGCATTTTAACTCTGATTTTTCAATGGCATTATTATTCACCAATGACTACTTTTATTTTTCTCTAAGAACTTAACAAGATTTTTAAAACATATTTTAGTTTGACTTAAACAGCTAAAAGATACAAAATGATATGAGTGATAAAATGGCTAAGAATCCAAAATGTTCCAAGTTTCCTATTTAATTTCTCATGCTTTAAAAGAACCAACATAAAACCCTGTTCCAATAGCTATTAAATGTTTTAATCTGAAAAGCAAAAAATAGTTAGGTAGATTTTCCTGTGAGAAATCATAGAACATCTCAATGCCTGCCTTTCATAGTCCCTCAGAACTAAAGTTCCTGATATCTTACCTCTGTAGTGTTAGTCTCAACCAGCAATAAAACTAATCCTGAACAAGGCAGGATATTTAACCCAAGTCTTAGTGCTACACTTTAATAAGGCCCAGAACAAGTTTTGTAAGACACATATCTAGCATCCAGTGTTTCAGGAATGAGTTCCTATGAACACTGACCTGTAGCAATCTCTATAACAACCATGAAACCTAGCGCTTTTCTTCCCTGCCAAAGTTCGAGTTAAGTACTGTGACTATGTTTCAGACCAACACTAACACTACTAAATTCCCACCAGCTCCAACCTCCTAGATGAGTCCATGGGAAGGGTGGGAAACAATGTTATAGATCCTGTGCCTCTCCATCAATGATGGACTAATCATCTGGAACTAGGAAACTAATACATGACTAATTCTGCCTCCCAGTTCCACTCCCCAATGGCCTGGGTAGCTTAGATCTCAGCAGGTCTTCTGCTTGAAAGCATCTGAATTATGGCAAACTAATGGAGCTAGAAGAGAATTTCACTATTGTGCTGCTCCTCCCTCACATTTAACAGCTGAGGGACTGAGACTCAGAAATTAAGCAATTAGTCAATGTTAACTGTTAGATAAAGAGAAAACAAAGATCCCAGTTGTCTAAGCCTCCTGACCTCTAGGTCAGGGATCTTCCAATGACACCATGCCTACCTGTACTCTAGACATAAGCCCCCTTACCTGTGAAGGGAAAAAGTATGGGTCAATTGCACCTTGAGAACTTTGTCCAGCAGTAACGCATTCCGTCAACAACTCTTTCAAAGTTTGCTTCATTTCCAAGGCTAAATCATTTAACCAAGTCTGAAAATAAAATTAGAAAATATATTATTTCTTATTACACAAGTCATAAAACAAAAACACAAGCTAATGACTCTATTCTTTTATTTCAGGAGGAAGGTTATAATTTCTTATTGACTCTCACACTCCCAAAATGTGTTGTATGGTATATAATTTTTTATTAATAAATGATTTAAATGAAGAAAACTATTTTTTCACCTCTTGGGATAATGTTAAGTGTGAAAACTCAAAAATTTGTAGTTAGTTATCACTATCACCATCTATACAAACCAAAAAAACATGAACATTTAAAAACTAACCCATTCATTTCATCATTATGATAAATCAAACTAGATAGCTGGGCCAATAAATTAGAGTCACAATGACTAGGTAAGTCCCGTGGCTCACACTACCCTGATGATCTTATATTCAGAAAGCTGTAACCATAGAAAGGGATTGCTTCATTAAGGTGAACCATATTATTTAAGAAGTTAAGATTCCCTCTTCAAACAAAACTAATTCTGTTTCAAGGTCAAAACAATACATTTTTCACTCAGTTGATTATAGATAAAATAATAAAAGTTTAAACTAAAGTTAAAATAATAATGATGATTAATAAAAATAGCATGAATATTTAAGAATCACTACTTAACTTTTAAAAACTGTATCATTTGCAATAAAATATAAGGGCAAAAACTACAATCTTAAATAGCTTTTCATCATTTCCTTTTTTAAGTTCTAGCTTTTTACTGTTTATCTTTAGAGCACTTTCCAGTATTAAAAATAGCACAAAATTTGGCCCAGTTCAAAAGCCACTGCAGCTAAAGAGTAAGAAGCTCTCAGTGCACGGCAGCAGACACCTACTCTGTTAATCATCACAAGAGCTCCGGGAGCGCTGCACTACCCCCAGCTGCTAAAAGCTCTTTCTCTCTCTGTTCATCCAGTCCTAATAAAATCACAAGAAAGGAAAACAACAGGAAAAACAACAAATCTCTTCACCAAATATGGGAGCTACTTAACAAACCTTCCATCCTTTCAACCACTTGATTTATATACTCAACATCCAATAAAATGTTGAGGCCTAACAAGGAATGGACTTTTTACTAAACTGTACAGATACATGCATGATAAGGCATGGCCCTGACTTGCAGTTGAAAGATACCTTTAGAACTTAAAAATTACAATTCAATGTGTTACATCCTATTGCTGTTGGCTTTAGCTGTATAACTGTAATAGGCTTTTGACAGTTCACTTCTAGTCCTGCAGAACCAATTAATCAATAGTTGTACTATAAATGCACTAGTTTCAAGTTTACTTGTTCACTTAAATCATCTCATACAACTCAGATTTTAAAGAAAAAAAAAAGAAAAGAACAAAGACTTATTGAGTAGTTATGTTCCAAACACTATAGTGTACCTAAAGCCAAATTATCTCATTTAATTTTCAAACAGAAAGTCTTTGCTAGTAGGCCTCCCATTTTACAGTTAAGAAAACTGAGACTCTTAAGTTATATAGCTAATAAGTTGTGGAGCTACAATTAATATCCAAGTCTTCTTGACTCCAAAGCAAAACTTGTTTTCAAAATTACATGCTGCCTTCCAAAGACTAAAAATACATATTGTCTTTAATATCAAATCATTCTGAACCTAACAAATTATTTTTTAAGATGTAAGTTTCCAAAAGGCCTAAATTAACCAACTTACTCTACAAATTGAATTAATTTTGATACAAAGTTCATAACGTTAATTCTTTATACTTTCACACTTGAAAAAGAATTACTTACCTCTACATTATTTGACAGAAGAACTTTGTTTTTAAAAGGTACAACTTCTCCCTCTAAAGATTTCATTGCAGTTATATGTTTTGATTCCTCATCAAAGCACACACTGTTAATGCCTACATTACAAATTCAACAATTTATATGCAAAAGTTTTATTAAAGATATAATTATTAGACAGTATATATGATTACCACATAATACATAAAGTATACTTCATAATATAGAATATATTAGAATTATATTAATTTGGTTATGTAATGAAATAGAACAGCTTTTCATAACCCAAAACTGGAAACAACCGAATGCCCACCAGGTGAATAGAGAAAATGTGGTATATTTGAACAACTGACTATTTTAAGCAATAAAAAGGAATAAAATATAGTTTTAGGTAACTTGAAACCATTATGATGAGTGAAAAAAAACAGGCACAAATGAGTGCATAAGAATACGTACCAATGATTCCACTTACATTATATGAGACAAAAAGATAATAGGAAAGGGGGAGAGCAAACAAGACTTCCCTTCCCCAAAATTTGCACTCACTTTATAGTATATAAAAAAGCACATTACCTAATTTTGATCTTTAGAAAAACCCTGTAAGTTATTATTTACAATTTAAAGAAAGAAACTAGATTTCAGAGAGGCAAATTAATAACTAATAAATAGTAGAGGTAGAGCTTGAAAGCAAGCTTTCTGATTCCAAGAGCTCTTTCTACTATCTTCTACAGGCAAAATCACAGTTACAGATATAAGCACTCTAAAGCTTCAGATATACAGTGGTTAATAAATACTTCTGTAAAGCACCAGAGAGTAAATATCTTAGGTTTTTATAGGTCATAAGGTCTCGGTGTCAATTACTCAACTCTGCTTATAGCACAAAAGCAGCTATAGACAATAATGGACATGGCTGTATTCCTTCCAACAAAACCTTATTTAAAAAAAAAAAAAACAGAGAGCTAGTCAGATTTGGCCTGTGGGCCTACAGTTTGCTAATCCCTGACTGCAAGTGAAGATGATGAAAATTTTTTACTTCTTAAAGTTAATTTGAAAAATACAGCTCTTTTGCAACAAATAATATTTCAAGAAAATAATAATTATCGTGTTTGTAGCAAACCAATTCCAAATGCAATTACCCAACTAAAATGATTCAACAACATCGAAGCATATGGCACTATTACTCTACACTTTTTGCAGGTAATCTCACCTCTTCCTATAGCCTAATTATCATCTATACACAGATGACTCCCAATTTTACATCTCCATCCCACGTATCTCTGCTAACAATAATTGCCTACTGAATATCTCCACTGGGACATCACTCAAGAGACCTTAAACTCAATAATGAATGGACATGTTCTCCTTCACTTCAGACCTCTGCACATCCTATTCCCTCTGTTTCCCCATTTTTCCTCTAGCTAAGACCTATATTTTCTTCAGATCTCACCTGAGATGTCATCTTTACATACCCAAAAATGAGCTAAATGTCTTCACAGATGCAGCTATAACACCACATACTTATGTCGACCATAGAAATTGTCGTATATTATATTTGTCAACTTACTAACTTGCCTCATCCACTAAACTAGAGTTCTTTGAGTGTATGACCTGTATTTTATTCAACAGTCTGCCTAAGAGCCTAACATAATGCCTGGCAGATAACTGAAACTCAATAAATATCTGTTGAATAAATGTTCAATCTTACCAGCAAACAGTTTCTTAAGGTGAGACTGAATCACTGATGAGTTAGTAGACTGGCCCAGTATTTCTAATAAGTCATCATCACCAATAAAGTAAAATCTTGGGAATGCTGAGCGTTTTTCCTAAAAAAGAAAAAAAAAAAAGAATAATCTCTTTTCAAATAATTAAGATATTAAAGTACTTTATAATTTATTATACAAGATTTTTTTTAAAAAACATGCCTCCAAGAATTCATTTAATGATTTCTGACATCTTTGAAGCTGATCAAGTATCGTTAGTAGAGAATTTCTGATTCCTGCATGAGTAGTTAACGTTGTGACTCTATTATCTTTCTTGATGTCAGTCATTATTGATCTGCAGAAGAAAAAAGTTATTTTCACATCTATTTTTAACAGTTTTTGGCTGAAACAGGGATATGGAGACTTTTTTTTTGCTTGCTTAAAACAAACTAGAAACATCAGTATACCAGCAATACATTATTATACTTCTAATAAATAATCCTCAAAGTTAATAATACTCCATTACCATTTTTAACCTCCATTATTGCACATTCTCTTATTTCCTTCACTCAGTAAACAAATATTAAGCCTTACCTCATAGAGATAATGGCCCAGTGACAGAGAAAGATATTAAGTAATTTCTCCAAATATTCAAATAAAATTATGATAAATGCTAAGAAAGAAAAGCACAAAGGACTGTTTTGTACTAAGAAAGAATTAGTAAAAGGCTAACGTGGAAATCCCTAACTTATGACTTATTTGAGGAAGTAATTTAAGCTGAGATTTGAATGTTAATGAAAAAGAAAAAGGCAATGAATAGGAGGGAAACAGTTTCTGGCAAAGACTCTGAGAAAGAGCATGGTATGTTAGAGAAACTAAAGGCTAGAGTCACTAAAGTAAAAAAAAAAAGAGAGAGAGAGAGAGAGAGAGAGCAGGACAAAAGGCTAGAGAAATGGACAAGGAGCAGATCCTTAGATCTGCTTTATCCTCAGAGCAATAGAAAGTCATTTTAAAGTTTTACTTAATGGAATAAAGGAAAGAAGTAATGTGGACTTCATTTTTAAAAGATTACTCTGGCTGTTGTGTGAAAAACTTACTGGAGAAGACAAGAATAAGAATAAGTCAAAAGATTAGCCAGTAGTACAAGTGAGTGACAACAAATATACTTCAGAATAAAATCAAAGAAGTAGAGATATAAAAGATATAATAAAATCGATTAGTAGGTTAGAATCAACAAAATTTGGTAACAAATGGATTTGGAAATGGAGGAAGAGGTCAAAGATATCCATTATGCTTCTGCCTTGAACAGTTAGGTGGTACCATTTATCGGGAAAGAAACCAGAGAGAAAAGAAAAGGGACTGTAGGAAAGGGACTGGGGGTAAATTCATGAATTTAGTTTTGACATGTTGAGGATATTTAATACATTTGGAGCTCAGAAAAGAAATATGAGCTCAATAAATAAGTTGAGGAGACCTCAGCAAATAGATGAGAACTGATTCTGAGAGTGGTTAAGATCGTTAAGGAGAGAATATAGAGTGAGAAAACCTAAAGCTGAAAGGTGGAGAATGTCTATATTTAAATGTTTAGAAAGGGCTGAGGACTAGGAATCAGGAGTGGAACCAGAGAAATGGGCAGAAAACCAAAAAGGAAAGGATCACAGAAGCCAAAAGAACAGACTTTCTAAGAAAGAAGAAATTTTCAACTCCATTAGATACTAGTCAGACATAAAGTAAAATGAAAAATAAAAAATGCCCATCAGATTTACAATGGGAAAGAAATTGGTAACTTTAAGAAATACTAGGTATATGTTAGTAATATTATTATTACTACTATAGAAATATTATTAATATAGATAGAGTGGTAAAGATAGAAACCAGATCAAAGTGATTCAAGTATATAACTGAATGAGAGAAACTAATTTCTCAGAAGGATCCAGTAGGAAAAAAGTTGAAGACACAGATGATGTTAATAATGTAAAAGTAATTAGCTTGTATTAAGTACCTCACCATATGAATAAAAACCATCATATGTGTCTTTGTCTTATGTAGTTGTACTGACCTAAAATCTTCATCAACTCTGTGGAAGCGCATCTGTTCTTTTGGCAATGCTCCACGGCCAAAAATGGGTTCCAAATATACCCACTTTCTCTGAATGTGGTTTAAATTCTGTAGGTACTCATCTAACTCTGCAAGTTTTCTTTCCCAAATTGACACTTTATCTTCAAATCCTTTATAATAAGGAGAATCCTTTAAGGACTGAAGAAGGCACCTATTATCTCCAACTTGATTTACTATATCCTTCCAGTCTTTAATCAGCTTGATAGTTCGACTTTGGCTGTCTTCATAATCAACCAATGTAAATACTGCTCCAACTCCCCAAAGATCAAGTTCTCGTAAAGCTTCTCTGATTGTAACTTCACCTTGTGCACGACTATTTAAATCCTATTTAACACAAAATATCCATATTTATTATTTCAACATTATCACATAAATAAGTTATATCTATTTTATAAGAAGATATATTTTTATTTGACTTTGCACCATAAAAAAAAAATTTAAGTGGATATATTTTCATCAATCCAAGAGAATTACTGGCAAATGTATTAAGGGATATCAGATATCTAGTTCACATGGTCAAATATATACAGAGTTCTGCCTTATGCTTTTTACTTCTAAAAAAACCCCCAAATTTAAGCATCCACTGCAAACCACAAAAATATTTAAAATTTTGGAGAACTCAGCCATTTTATTGTAATTTAACTGTAAGTTCCAATACATCTAAAATGATTAGCAACCATCTAGAATTACCTCCTACAGCAGTCATGCTTTATAACCTTATGATTATCTTCATATGCTCCAGGATTATCAGCAAAGATGAAAGTACACATATTAGATAATATATTAGAAAATAAAACAATTTGACATCAAAAGTCCTTTTATTTTTTTACATTAAATGGGCAGAACACAAAATAGAAAGTCTGCTACTTATGATATAATTGTACAAGTTTTACTTTCACCTGAGACCTATGCTAAAACTGATTAGCAAATTGGTTCCTTGTTTAGTTCTCTGTATTTCTGTACCCCTTAGCTTCTATTTATAATATACCCTATGATTTTAAATGTTTTTTACAAAATGCTTTGTACTTGCTTTTTGATTAAAGCTGACTTCCTTCTTAAAGTAAGACATATTTTATTTCAGATTTTTTCTCTCAAAGAAGGGGTTTATATTGTTTCTATAACCCCATCGATAGATTCAGATGTATTACTAATGAAAGAATAATGGAAAAATGGAACACTGTCACTATTTTAAGGGAAGAAAGAAATTTAACTTGCTGTTTTATTTAAATAAAATATAAAGCAAAAATGTATGTCAACAAAGGTCAGATCTATGAGATATTTATAAAAGTGATTCTTACTTTAAGGTCTGAAGCTTTGGCAACAATTGTAGCAGCTACTCTAAGCAGATCACCAAACAGTAATTTATCTAGACTAGTCCCCCGAGGAAGGCCAAGTAGACGAAAAAGATCAAGCCAGTGATCTGGAGAAAGATGCTCCCCTCTCACATATTTCAAGATAGGGACTGCGATCTGTTAAAAAAGAAGAAAAAAAGACTTATGTATGTATATATACAAGCAAAATGTAAATTATTATTTAATTTTATTATAATTATCTATAAGATTTTTCATTACTGTATTATCTTATTTAACAATCTTAAAATCAAATTCTTAAAAAGAATTGTATAAAACTTTTTATTAAACATTGCTGTGGACACATGCAAATTTCCTTTGGTAGCTTGATATATTTTAAAACATGACATAAAATATTTCTATTTTTATAAATTTAGGAAATGACCTATATCCTAAATATGCTAAATGACCCATATCCTAATTGCTAAGTTATAAATACTCCAATATATAACTTTAACCATAAATTTCTTAGTTATAACTTCTTTCAAACTGAAGCAGAAATATCAGTAACTTCTATGGTTTACTCTATACTTTCTATTTTTTTCATGTAATAGAATCATTAAAAATATATAAACTAAAATTACAGTTCAGTCACTGCATAATAAAAAGATACATGAAAGCTCCAAACACCATTTTTAAAGAGTAAGATAAGTAAAACTATCTTACTTTATATTTGTCAACCTCTGATTGTAATTTCACCGTCATCACTGAATGTTCTTCAACCTTTCTTAATCTGTCATGCCAATTCATCAAAAATTCCTCAAACAGATATGTCTTAGTCCTGTAAAATACCAGAAACATACCTTAAATTTTACATCCCAAAAAATACCACAAAACTATCAGAATCTAAATACTATTTATGAATCAAACCTAAAAGTAATCCAATCTTCATTGGCCATTTCTTGAAATCCTTGCTGAAACTCTTCATAAAGGGCCCAAATTTGTGCACAGCTCTCAATGTCCTTAGAGATGTTACATGCCAAGGAGAAGTTGGGCTCTTCTAGGCCAAAATGATGGCAATCATCACTATAGAAACAAGTAGCAAATATCATTAATTTTTTAAAAAGAAAAACTGTTAAATATCAATAAGTTTAACTAATTAATATTTAACTGCATTCCCTGTGTATGTTTGTGTGCATGTATCTGACAGCAGAGGTAGACAGTGGGAGGCTATGTCTACTTTACATAAGAATTTTACTTAACTACTTAGGAACAAGCTCTTCCAAATTCATTAATATGCATTTTTTCCAAAGGAGTCAAAGTAAAATTGGTAATATATATAAATACATTTTATATATATATGTCATATATATAAATATTCAGAATTGTACAAATTTATGGATTAATCTGAGAACAGGTTAAAGAATATCCATTAATATTCTTCTAGGTTGAGAGAATTAGCTTCTAGAACATAAGATATTCTTCATCTAATTAATGTAATGTCACTTAATAAACATGGTACTAAAACCTCCACTCACCTATGAAGCCAATTAATTTATGGATGCATTTACCTAAATGGATCAAACCTAAAACAATTATTAAACTTAATATTTGTATTATTATAACATAAAACAACAAATATTTTTCTTTGAAGTCTCATCATTTTGCTAGGTTCATTTTTTTTTCCCAGAAGCTCTAAAAGTAATTGGCCATTAATTTTATATATTCCATTTTTAAGTACAATGAGATCACATAAAGCAATATTCCAACTCCCTAATTTAACTTTTAAGTAAATTTAATTTTCTATTATTATTTAATTTGCTATGATAACTTCTATTATTTCTATTCCTAGGCCTAACCAGAAATCTGCTTTTCTCTTAAAATCCTAATATAATTCAACAACTCCTAGGAAAGCAGTAGCATGAGCACTTAATACTGGTATTTTTAAAACTGCTGAAGTTTATAAGGAAAGACATTAAGATAATAAATATAAGAACATTACTAGCTTAATATATAAATACAAAACTCTTTTTTCCAAAATGTGCACTATCAGTTTTAAAGAATAAACATACACCAGCTTTTTTCTTATGACTTCAAGATCATCAAACTCAATTTTTTTCTCTTTTATTGACTTGGCACTTTTATCAAGAGTATTTTGCTGGCCAGTTTCAATAACATCATCACCAGGCTTTAGTTGGTCCCAACGAGCTTTAAATTTTTCCAGTTCTTGGTAATAGATCTGAAGACGTGATTTCACATTTCCTTTCATCACTTCAATCTATAAGGCAAAAGAGTTTACATAATTTAATTCAAAGTAAAATCTTACTTTATATTCACATTTTTATTTCCAACATTTCAATTTAAAGGTCAAAAAATATCAGTATCAGCTTTTCAAAGATTATTCTTTATTACTGATTTCAAGTACAATAAAATAACTCAAAAATAAATTAGACCATAAATTTACAAAAACAAGAGATATACTGCAAACATCATCATTACAAAATCATACATGTGATTAACAGCATCCATGATAACTATCAACAAAATCAATGTGATAAAAAAAATTTGATCAATGACCTCCAGTTGTTCTACCTGATTATACAGCTGTTTAATAAAGGAGGGCATTTCCCAGTCTCCCATGCAGCTAACAGCCATAAGACTAAGTGCTGGTCAATAGGATATGAGTGCAATAGATGTGTACAACTTCCAGATTATACCCTTAAAAGATACCATACACAGTAGGTAAATAAATTTATTCATAAGAAAGACTGAAAATAATGTCACATACATTCCTGGTACGGTAGGAAACAAAGATAAACTATATGACATGATCACCATTTATACAAAGTCTTTTACTGTATAGAAGTACTGAGGGAGGTCAATTTCATCAGCAATATATTGGGTTGGCCAAAAAGTTCCTTCAGGTTTTTCCATAAGATGTCACAGAAAACCTGAGCTTATAAATTCTTACAAACCTGAGCTATAATGGAATAAAGATAAGCAAGAAATCTTAAATGAGAAAAAAAACTGTTTCCATTTTAACAAAATGACCAAAAGGTTCTTACCTGATCTTTAATCATAAGTTGGTGACTTTCCATCATCAACCCAAATTTATCCCACTTAGCTTTCAGATTACTAATTGTTTCTAAACCTCCACCTGCCACAGTCCGTAAAAGTCTGTTTTTATCTTCAACTTCTTGAAATAAGGGCAAAATCTAAAGGTTAAAAAGTGACATGTGAAAAACAACATATTTTATCAAATTTATTAAGATTCCATTTATTTAAAATTGTTTCATGATTTGCTTTTTAAATCAAGATTTTTGCTTTTACATAATTTGTTTTGTTTGTTTTGTATGTTTTTTTCTGTTTTTTTTTTAAAGAAGATGTTGGGGGTAGGAGTTTATTAACTTATTTATTTATTCTTGCTGTGTTGGGTCTTCATTTCTGTGCCAGGGTAATAAACATACACCAGCTTTTTTCTTATGACTTCAAGATCATCAAACTCAATTTTTTTCTCTTTTATTGACTTGGCACTTTTATCAAGAGTATTTTGCTGGCCAGTTTCAATAACATCATCACCAGGCTTTAGTTGGTCCCAACGAGCTTTAAATTTTTCCAGTTCTTGGTAATAGATCTGAAGACGTGATTTCACATTTCCTTTCATCACTTCAATCTATAAGGCAAAAGAGTTTACATAATTTAATTCAAAGTAAAATCTTACTTTATATTCACATTTTTATTTCCAACATTTCAATTTAAAGGTCAAAAAATATCAGTATCAGCTTTTCAAAGATTATTCTTTATTACTGATTTCAAGTACAATAAAATAACTCAAAAATAAATTAGACCATAAATTTACAAAAACAAGAGATATACTGCAAACATCATCATTACAAAATCATACATGTGATTAACAGCATCCATGATAACTATCAACAAAATCAATGTGATAAAAAAAATTTGATCAATGACCTCCAGTTGTTCTACCTGATTATACAGCTGTTTAATAAAGGAGGGCATTTCCCAGTCTCCCATGCAGCTAACAGCCATAAGACTAAGTGCTGGTCAATAGGATATGAGTGCAATAGATGTGTACAACTTCCAGATTATACCCTTAAAAGATACCATACACAGTAGGTAAATAAATTTATTCATAAGAAAGACTGAAAATAATGTCACATACATTCCTGGTACGGTAGGAAACAAAGATAAACTATATGACATGATCACCATTTATACAAAGTCTTTTACTGTATAGAAGTACTGAGGGAGGTCAATTTCATCAGCAATATATTGGGTTGGCCAAAAAGTTCCTTCAGGTTTTTCCATAAGATGTCACAGAAAACCTGAGCTTATAAATTCTTACAAACCTGAGCTATAATGGAATAAAGATAAGCAAGAAATCTTAAATGAGAAAAAAAACTGTTTCCATTTTAACAAAATGACCAAAAGGTTCTTACCTGATCTTTAATCATAAGTTGGTGACTTTCCATCATCAACCCAAATTTATCCCACTTAGCTTTCAGATTACTAATTGTTTCTAAACCTCCACCTGCCACAGTCCGTAAAAGTCTGTTTTTATCTTCAACTTCTTGAAATAAGGGCAAAATCTAAAGGTTAAAAAGTGACATGTGAAAAACAACATATTTTATCAAATTTATTAAGATTCCATTTATTTAAAATTGTTTCATGATTTGCTTTTTAAATCAAGATTTTTGCTTTTACATAATTTGTTTTGTTTGTTTTGTATGTTTTTTTCTGTTTTTTTTTTAAAGAAGATGTTGGGGGTAGGAGTTTATTAACTTATTTATTTATTCTTGCTGTGTTGGGTCTTCATTTCTGTGCCAGGGTTTTCTCTAGTTGTGGCAAGCGGGGGCCACTCTTCATCATGGTGCGCAGGCCTCTCACTATCGCAGCCTCTCTTGTTGTGGAGCACAGGCTCCAGACACGCAGGCTCAGTAGTTGTGGCTCACGGGCCTAGCTGCTCTGTGGCATGTGGGATCCTCACAGACAAGGGCTTGAACCCGTGTCCCCTGCATTAGCAGACAGATTCTCAACCACTGCACGACCAGGGAAGCCCAATTTGTTTTGTTTTGTTTTTGTTTTTCTTTTGGTTATTTAGTAATATATTGTTTACCCTCCATGTGTTCGTGGTTTTTATGTTTTTTTTCCCTGTAATTCATTTCTAATCTCATAGCACTGCGGTCATAAAAGATGCTTGATATGATTTCAATTTTCTTAAATTTACTGAGGCTTGATTTGTGACCCAAGATGTGATGTATCCTGCAGAATGTTCCATGTGCACTTGAGAAGAAATTGTAATCTGCTGTTTTAGGATGGAATGTCCTATAAATATCAATTAAATCTCTCTGGTCTACTGTGTCATTTAAAGCTTCTGTTTCCTTATTTATTTTCATTTTGGATGATCTGTCCATTGGTCTAAGTGAGGTGTTAAAGTCCCCTACTATCATTGTGTTACTGCCAATTTCCTCTTTTATAGCTGTTAGCAGTTGCCTTATGTATTCAGGTGCTCCTATGTTGGGTATATATATATTGGGCATATATATTTATAATTGTTATATCTTCTTCTTGGATTGATCCCTTGATCATTATGTAGTGTACTTCCTTGTCTCTTGTAACATTCTTTATTTTATAGTCTATTTTATCTGATATGAGTATTGCTACTCCAGCTTTCTTTTGATTACCATTTGCATGGAGTATCTTTTTCCATCCCCCAATTTCAGTCTGTATGTGTCCCTAAGTCTGAAGTGTGTCTCCTGTAGACAGCATATATATGGGTCTTGTTTTTGTATCCATTCAGCAAGCCTGTGTCTTTTGGTTGGAGCATTTAATCCATTCACGTTTAAGGTAATTATCGATATGTATGGTCCTATGACTATTTTCTTAGTTGTTTTGGGTTTGTTTTTATAGGTCCTTTTCTTCTCTTGTGTTTCCCACTTAGAGAAGTTCCTTTAGCATTTGTTGTAGAGTTGGTCTGGTGGTGGGTGCTCTTAGCTTTTGCTTGTCTGTAAAGCTTTTGATTTCTCCATCGAATCTGAATGAGATCCTTGCCAGGTAGAGAAATCTTGGTTGTAGGTTCTTCCCTTTCATCACTTTACGTATATCATGCCACTCCCTTCTAGCTTGTAGAGTTTCTGCTGAGAAATCAGCTGTTAACCTTATGGGAGTTCCCTTGTATGTTATTTGTCGTTTTTCCCTTGCTGCTTTCAATAATTTTTCTTTGTCTTTAATTTTTGCCAATTTGATTACTGTGTGCCTTGGCATGTTTCTCCTTGGGTTTATCCTGTATGGGACTCTCTATGCTTCCTGGACTTGGGTGGCTATTTCCTTTCCCACGTTAGGGAATTTTTCGACTATCATCTCTTCAAATATTTTCTTGGCTCCTTTCTCTCTCTCTTCTCCTTCTGGGACCCATATAATGTGAATGTTGTTGCATTTAATGTTGTCCCAGAGGTCTCTTAGGCTGTCTTCATTTCTTTTCATTCTTTTTTCTTTATTCTGTTCTGTGGCAGTGAATTCCACCATTCTGCCTTCCAGGTCACTTATCCATCCTTCTGCCTCAGTTATTCTGCTATTGATTCCTTCTAGGGTAGTTTTCATTTTGGTTATTGTATTGTTCATCTCTGTTTGTTTGTTCTTTAATTCTTCTAGGTCTTTGTTAAACATTTCTTGCATCTTCTCGATCTTTGCCTCCATTTTTTTTCCAAGGTCCTGGATCATCTTCACTATCATTATTCTGAATTCTTTTTCTGGAAGGTTGCCTATCTCTACTTCATTTAGTTGTTTTTCTGGTGTTTTATCTTGTTCCTTCATCTGGTTCATAGCCCTCTGACTTTTCATCTTGTCTATCTTTCTGTGAATGTGTTTTTTGTTCCACAGGCTGCAGGATTGTAATTCCTCTTGCTTCTGCTCTCTGCTCTCTGGTGTATGAGGCTATCTAAGAGGCTTGTGCAAGTTTCCTGATGGGAGGGACTGTACATAATTTGTTATATCCTGGATATAAAGTTTCTAACATTTATTATTGTATGCAAACTCAACTAAGACACTTAAACATCAAAAGTTAAAAAGGATAATAAAAGTGGTAATATGAAACTGAACTAAATCATGAATATAGGAAGACAATACTATAGCTGTTCAAAGTGAAGTTCTTATTATAAAAGTTCCATTCATAAGAAAATGCTAAAGAGGCTTCTAAAATTAGTGACTATCTAAAAGCATAGATTAACTAAATTATCCTACTTAACAGAGAAGGGTAAGTCATGAAAAAAAAAGGCACTTAAGAGAGGGAAAACTGAAGAATCGGAACCAAGCTCCTGTATTCAGCTTCTACCTGAAATGCCCTGAGCTGTGTATAGTGAGCAGTCTGTTAAACAGTCTAGGTGTAGGTCAGTAAGTGCTAAACTACTCAAATTGCTTCTAGGCCTTTTAAAGCACCATAAAAGAACAGTGTCCTATAATTTATACCTGTGCTTTTACTACTCAACAAAGCAATAAAATCCACTGAAAGATATTTTAAAATCACTGTGCATATATAATAGGCAAAAAAAAAAAAATTAAAACATATCTCAATGACCAGCTTGCAGTTTCTGGGCAGGATCAGTTTCACCTGAGAAACAGAAAAACAATGGACCAAGAATCCATGTTGTACTAGGAAAATCAGTGAGAGAAAAAATAGAGCAGGATTCTAATTTCCTGTATGTGAACAGAACTTAGCCTGTGAAGACATTACAACAGTTTTCAAGTCCACCTGCATGCATTCCTACTTCTTCAAATCCACACGCCAACAGAGAGACATACTGAAACACAATTCTGTAACATCTTGCTGCTTAAAAGCCAGCAACGACTCCTCAGTGCCCACAAAATCAAACCTAAGATCCTTAATGTGACTCACATGACCTAGATTCTGCCTAGCTCTTTATACTGTCTTGTGCCACTTCCTGCCTCACATGTTGTTCCCAACATACATCTATTTCTCATAGTTTTTGTGATGACCCACTTTCATCCCACTTCATTATCAATCTCCTTAGCTGCCTCCATCTATGCTTGAACTCTAAATTTCAGAAAGCTCAAACCTGATCCTATAACCTCTACAGTTTGTTATCAACCAGATGATCTAGTTCAATCCTATGGCTTTAAACATCATGAATATTAAGATGACTTTCAAATTTATATCTCTAGTCTTCAACTTTACTCTAACTTCCTTATTCCTCATTCTACCTGACATCTCAATCCCCACCACTTCCAATCTCCAAACAACTCCCCTCTCTAGTCATCCTCATCTCAGTAAATGGTACCATTAGCTTTCCAGCTGTTCAAGGCAGAAACCTAGGAAACATGTTTATTGCTTTTTCTCTAAGCTCCGTCTACTTCTAATACATCAGAAGACCTTGGTGCTAACTCTAAAGTGCATCATCAATTTCTCTGGTTCTCTCCATCTCCTCTGCTACTCCATGGTACAAGCTTCCATCACCTCTTGTATACCAGTTGCAATATACTACTAACTAGACTCTCTGCTACTATTTGTCTCCCTCCAATCCATTCTTTACAGAGCAGCCAGAGTAATCACTTCAAAATGTAAACCAGACTGTATCCCTTCCCTGCTTAAATCCCTGTAAGGACTTTCCTATTACTTTTAGAAAAAAAAAACCCAAATCCTTATGATTGTTTAAAAGTACCTTCATAATCTGGCCCTTGCCTACCTCTCCAATTTCACCTCAAACCATTTTTTCCTTGAATAATATGGCTTTCTTGATAACTAAGTTTCTTGACAATATTTTCACCTATCTTCCTTAAGCATACCAAACTCCTTCTCTACCTTAAGATCTTTGTATTTGTTGTTCTATCTGCCCCCTAAATCGCGGAATGGTTGCCTCCTTAAGTTTTTCAGGCCTCAGTGCAGACAGATGTCATCTATCTGATAAGGTATCCACAATCGCCCACTCTAAGAAACATCCCCCAGATTATCATGCACTGCTCTAGCTCCTCTTGCTCCTCTCTTTCTCTCTGTCCTGTCTCTGTCTCTCTGTCTCTCCCTCTCTCTCTCTCTGACACACACACACACACACACACACACGAATGCAAATTTCATGAGAATAGAGCATGTTCATAGATGTAACCACAACTCCTAGCACAATGCCTAGAATATATCAGGTGATCTATAAGTATCTGTCAAATAAATAAATGAATGAATGCCTCTGCTAAATCAAGCTAACTGCCACAGCTCATAATGCTATTCCTTCTTTAGTTATTTCCTTCTACTAGACAAGTACATTATTTTATTTGCCTTTAAATCCTCTTTATACCTTTAAGCTTTCCATATAAAAGTTTATAATTCCTTCCACCATGAAGGTATATTATTTCATTTACCTCTAATCTATCTAATAATTTTAAGCCTATCACACAATAGAAGCATAAAAAACTTTGTATTCTATTTTGAATTATTTCTCCTCCTTCTTCTAAACATAACTAAGATCATCTATAATATGTTCTATAAAATTTTCACTTGCTTATTCTAGGCTCTAGCCTTCTAGATACTGTTTTTATGAATCCTTCACTTTTCTTTATCTTTGTCTCTAATTATGAGCTCCTCCATCATATGTGAGTGTGTGTGTGTGTGTGTGTCTGTGTGTGTGTGTGTGTGTGTGTGCTCCTAATTCTGCTCTAACGTCATACTTCAGCATCTTAAAAGTACAACCCTGGAAGTAACAGCATGAATTATTTAAGTTTAGTTTTATTCTAATAAGCCACATCATAAAAGAGACCACAAATACTTCTGAAAATAATAATAAGCATTATTGTTACTGTTTCATTACAACAACATAACATCAAGAGTCCAGTCATGAACTGATCAATTGGACTAGATTTTATAGACTTCCTTATAATGCAATTATATGATATTTCTAAATAGTCACATAAAATTACCTAATTTAATCATCCCCAGTACAGTAAAAGAATAAATAAATTGCTTTGTGACTCTCACCTCTGGCTTCCGTTCTTGTAGCTTACTATATTGTAAATTTGCATTACCTATCTCTTCCACAGACTGCGGCATAATTGCTAAGACTGCCATAGCTTCAGTAACGAATGTATCAATTTCATGTAAATGAGCTGAAATAGGTAACATTGAAATATAAAAAAAATTATTATTATCACGAAAAATATTTAATTACATAATTTCTAAATCAAGGAATGTTAGAAGTAATCACTATATGAAATACATTAAATCCTAAGTAGTCATTTGCTTTCATAAAGCAAAATTCAAAATGTAGAATAAGCAAAGAAATTTTTTCTCATGAAACTGTAATTGTTTTACATGACACTTAAAATTTTTAGGAAGAAATTTAAAATGTACTCACTCTTAGTAAATTTTACTCAAAATTGGTAACTTTTTCAGTCTTTTAAATAATATGCTAAAACACCACAGCTTAAAGGAAAAAAGAAACACTGATATTTTGGAAAATAGTACAGGCATACCTCATTTTATTGTGCTTCACTTTATTGTGCTTTGCAGATATTGCATTTTTTTACAAATTGAAGGTCTGTGGCAACTCTGCATGGAGCAAGTTTATCAGTGGCATTTTTCCAACAGCATTTACTTGCTTCATGTCTCTGTATCACGTCTTGGTAATTCCCCCAATATTTCAAACTTTTCCATTATTAATTACATTTGTTATGGTGATCTGTGATCAGTGATCTTTGATGTTACTGTTGTAATTGTTTTGGGGCACCATGAACCAAACCCACATAAAACAGTGAACTTAACTGACAAATGTTGTATATATCCTGACTGTTTCACCTCTCTATTCCCTGAGACACAAAAATATTGAAATTGGGCCAATTAATAAGGCTACAATGGCCCCTGAGTATTCAAGTGAAAGAAAGAGTGACACATCTCTCACTTTAGTGAGGAAGGCATGTATAATGATGAGATAGGCCAAAAACTAGGCCTCTTGCACCAGTTAGCCATGAAAAGTTCTTAAGGGAAATTAATATGCTGTACTCCAGTGAACACAAATGATAAGAAAGCGAAACAGGATTACTGTTTATATGGAGAAAGTTTTAGTGATCTGGATAGAAGATCAAACCAGCTACAACAGCCCCTTAAGCCACAGCATAATCCAGAGCAAGGCCCCAACTCTCTTCAATTCTGTAGACTGAGAGAGGTGAGGAAGCTGCAGAAGAAAAGTTTGAAGCTAACAGAGGTTGGTTCATGAGATTTAAAGAAAGAAGCCATCTCCACAACATAAAAAGTATAAGATGAAGGAGCATGTGCTGATACACAAACTGCAGCAAGTTATCCAGATGATCTAGCTTAGTTAATGAAAGCTGCTCCACTAAACAACAGATTTTCAATGGAGATGAAGAAGCCTTCTATTAGAAGAAGATACCACCGAGGACTTTCACAGCTAGAGAGAAGTCAATGCCTGGATTCAAAGATTCAAAAGATAGGCTGACTCTCTTGTTAGAGGCTAATGCAGCTGGTAACTTAAGTTGATGCCAATGCTCATCTGCCATTCAAAAAATCATAGCACCTTTAAGAATTATGTTGAATCTATTCTACCTGTGCTCCAGAAATGGAACAACAAAGCTTGATGACAGCACATCTGTTTACAACATGGTTTACTGAATATTTTAAGCTCACTGCTGAGAGCTACTGCTCAGAAGAAAAAGATTCCTTTCAAAATACAACTGCTCATTGACAATGCACCTGGTCACCCAAGTGCTCTGATGGAGATGTACAAGATTCATGTTGTTTTCATGCCTGCTAACACAACATCCATTCTGCCGCCCATAGATCAATAAGTAATTTCAACATTCAAGTCTTATTATTTAAGAAATACATTTTATAAGGCTATAGCTGCAACAGAGAGTGATTTCTCTGATGCATCTGGGCAAAATAAATTGAAAATCTTCTGGAACAGATTCACCATTCCAGATGCAATTAAGAGCATTCGTGATTCATGGAAAGAGGTCAAAATATCAATGTTAACAGGAGTTTGGAAGAAGTTGATTCCAACCCTCATGGATGACTTCGAGGAATTCAAGGCTTCATTGGAGGAAGTAACTAAAGATGAGATAAAAATAGCAAGAGAACTAGAATTAGAGGTGGAGCTTAAAGATGTGAATGAATTCCTGCAATCTCATGATAAAACTTTCACAAATGAGGCGTTGCTTCTTATGGATAAGCAAAGAAAGTGGTTACTTGTAATTCTGAGAATCTAGTCCTGGTGAAGATGCTGTGAAGATTGTTGAAATGACAACAAAGGATTTAGAATATTGAATAAACTTAGTTAATGAAGCAGCAGCAGGGTTTGAGGAGGCTGACTCCAATTTTGAAAGAAGTATTACTGTGAGTAAAATGCTATCAAACAGCATTGCACGCTACAGAGAAAGGAAGAGTCAATCGATGCAGCACACTTCAGAGTTGTCTTATTTTAAGAAACTGCCACAGCCACCCCACCCTTCAGCAACCACCTCCCTGATCAGTCAGCAGCCATCAACGTCAAGGCAAGACCCTCCACCAGCAAAAAGATATGACTCACTGAAGGCTCAGGTGATGGTTAGCAATTTTTAGCAATAAAGCATTTTTAAACTAAGGTATGTAAATTGTTTATTCAGACATAATGCTTACTGCAACCTTAACAGACTACAGTATATGTAAACATAACTTTTATATGCACTGAGAGACCAAAAGATTCCCACGGCTCTCTTTATCACAATATTCTTTATTGCGGTGGTCTGGAACTAAACCCACAATATCTCCAAGTTATGCCTGTGGTCATTTGAAGAGATAAGGATAAATACATTATACCAGAATTACCTCCTTTCTCAGTAGCATATGCAACAAACTGATACTAGCTCACACTGCAAATAATAAAAAATGCCTTCAATTTTTAGACCTCTCAGGAGTTGAATATGGAGTTTCCTACTTTATTAAAACTACTTTAAGCATATTTTATTTCATATTACTTTCTAGATTATCTTTTATTTTAATCATCATTGAGATTCATATTTCATAACTATAAAAATGTAAAAGTGTCTTTACCCTGAATGGACTTCTTCAAAGAAAGAACAAGCACGTCAAATAACTTCTGGATGAGATCATCAATCACAGTCTTCACAGGGTTACAATTAATATTTAAACAATCTACCTTGACAGTACTGAAAAATGCCAAAGGACATATTCTGACATGAAAAAGACTAATTACAAGAAAAGAGTCTCATTATAATATGAGTTTGTGTAATACATTTTACAATATCACCCAAACATATTATTGTGATCTTTAAGCACATTTAGATTTCATTTAGCAAAAATGAACACATACTAATACTAACACATACTAGCACATACTAATATGAAGTTTTTCATTAAACAATGATTTTGTTATAATTCTACAGTTTTTAATAATCCAATGTATCAGTTTAAAAAAAGCAGCACATTATGAATTACTAAAGTATCAACATGAATATATTTAAATTTTTACATGTTTTACTTGTCACAGTATCTAACATACTTATTTAAAGATTTATAAAATAAACTATTATCCTGTAGTCAAAGTACAAGCAATAATGATAGGGAAAATAAAACAAACATAGAAAGTGAATATAGATTATGAAGACACTAAAGCAATAAAACATACCATTTTCTACCTATCTAATTCACAAGAATGTAATGAATTGTTAATTCATATCTTCAATCATGTGGGCAAACAGAGAACTCTCAGAACTGTTGGTCAGAGTATAAAACAACACAACTTTTGCAAGGGCAATTTACCTATATCAAGTAATTTTAAAATAGGTATATTCTTTTATCTTAGTAACTTCACTTTTAGAACTTATCCTAAGGAGATTTTCAGCGCAGACTCCAAGATTTACATACAGGTATCTTCTTCAAAGTATTAATTATAATAGTAAAAAAATAGAAGTAAACTAAATACCAGAGTGGCTAAATAAATTATTATATATCTATACAATTTAAAGTCATATTTTTGAGGACCAGATAATGACATGGTGAAATACTAATGATTAGTGCTAAATAAATAGCAGGATACAGTATGATCCAAATTTTGTAAGCAGATGTACTAATATGTCCAAAACATCAAATATTAACAGCAATTGTCATTATGACTTTTTATATTTTAAAAAATTTATAAAACAAATGTACTATTTTAATAATCAGAAAAAAGGCATATATTTTTAAGAACATTAATTCTTTGCATGGTACTCTGAATGCAAATTATAATGTTCTAAACAAATAGAAGTTGAACCAGAGTCATTCATCTGAGTAAACCTCATATTTATCTTAAATTATATAAAGTAAAAAAAAAGTCTGGAAATATTGGTCTAAAAAATTATTTAGAAAGACTCTTTTTAAAACATAGAACCAGGTGATATTCTTAGAAAGCAAGTTATAAGTGTTAAATAAAGTTTCATTATAAAAATACAATTTTCTCTTAAAGTTTTATTTATTTATTCTCAATCACCCACTAACTGGAGAGGTTTAAACTCCAGTTCTTAACCACCAAAACCTAAGAGTCAATTTGTCTTATACATGAAGTTACTTGATTTTTGAAATCCTGACACAAAATGTCTAAATTTCTAACATTTAATATATGAAAATAGATGATTTTGGTAAACCTAAAAACATTATACCATATTTTACTAATGAATTAATACATAAAGTGATATGATTATAGCAGAGTTGTATACACTGAGTCTTGTGGACAAGACTAATGTTCACCTTTCAATTGAAAATATTGTTAATGTGCAATTGAGGCTCCATTCAGCCATAGATAGAATGGGATGGACATAGATGGCCTACCCAAAAAGTATATCCTTACTGCAGTATCTGAAATACATCCTCAGAATATGGATTGTCTAATCTTACAGCATACTTCCCAAAAGTACCCATAAAATAATTATCTGTGTGTACATATATATGTGTGTATTAGCTTAGATGAATACATGTTAACTTATAAGCAAGAAACAGAAAAATGAAATATGGCATGTAGGACAGGCATTCCTTTTGCTTTGTTTAGCTTTGGCAGGGAAGTATAAATAGAAACCCCGTCTATAGAAAAGGACAAACAAATAGCAGTAGCAGCAGTAGAGGTCTTGGGCAGTCAGGTGACAGCATAAAGTCAAACAAAAATGGGCTCAAATAGAGTATCCAAAAGAGAAATCTAATGTTCAAACATTACAAAAACACTCTTTTCCTTACTTCAAAGTAACATTAATGGCACTATCATTATCCTAGTCATCCAAGTTCAAACCTTCAAGCCATTTGTCTCTTCTCTATTCCTCATCCCTCATCTTCCTCCAAAAGTAAGACCGCTTAATACCTCATAATATTTCCTCCTCCACATTTTGAATACCAACAACTTGATTCAATTAATTATTACTGGGTTTCTGGATGAAGACAGACGAACCTCTCTTCCTCCAGGATCTCTTGATTCCACCATACAACTCATTATTTCCAGATTAACATTCCTAATGTATAGCTTTGGTACTAACACGCTTCTGTTTAGAAACCTTCAACAACTAATCATTCTAACATGAATAACATCCAAATTCCCTGTTTTAGAATGTAAGACTCTCCCAAATCTGTACTTTATCTACCCCTTTCCAGAAATATCTCCTCTAGTCCCTAATAAAACATTATCCCTAATCAAATTCTCAATTAACCAACCTCTGTTTTCATTACATAAATCCCTCTCCTGAGAGACTCTGCTTTAACCTCCAATTCTCATTTCTACCCATCAAAATCCTAGTTCAAGTATTTCTATCTTAATGAAGCTTTCCCTGATTTTGCCACAAATGGATGGGATGTCATCATCCTGTAAATCTCCATAGCCTTTAGTCCAGTCTCTAATATGGAATATAGACTATTCTATCTAGTATTAATAACAATTAATAACAACTAGCATTTATTGAGAACTTAACCTCTACCATTAATTTACATGCAAATTATTTAATCGGCAAAACACTGAGATAAATAATATAGTTGTAATTGCTTTAAAGCTGAGGAAATGGAGGCTCACAGGGTTGAAATGACTGTCAAATTCATGCAGCTAGTAAGAGCCATCTACCTCCAGAGCCCACTCTCTCAACGCCTGCGTGTACTTGACTTAATCATCAAACATACTTGTCTTATTGCACTACGAGAGAGCAAGCAACTTCATCTCAGGAACTCTGTCTTCATCTTTCTACTCCCACAGGACAAGGTTTTGCATAATGTAAATGAGCACCAAATAGTTATTGAAAGAAAGAACAAATGGATTAATAAAAGTGATATTATACTTTATAGGTAATATATACACAATTAAACAAGGCCCTTCCTTCCCAGGGCTTATTGCGTAGAATGGTTTCAGTGGTCGGAATTTCAGAGAGTGAGGGGGATATTTGGGGTTATGAAATGCCCCTCAGAAGGTCTTCTCCACATTTAGGGCAATACCCAGATGCAGCACTTCTTGTGTGCCTCCCAGGGCATTTTGAAAGGGGGCAGAGCCATACAAAATTGGAGTCAAATGTCCTCCAGTATGCTCTCAGTAGTAGATTCTTACCATTCTTAGACTGTGCCCATGCACATCAAATATTAGATCCTCACACCAGATCTGGAGAGAAGCCTCTTCCCCCAATCTGTCCTATCCAACTAGGTCTCAGCCAGCCGAACCTCTAGAAGAGGTTTTCTTAGTCTCAGCAATTCTCTACTCAGATGATTCTCAAGTGTCATAGCTGAGCTCTAGAGGAGGTAAGACCGATGACTGGACTTAAGTACCACTAAGTGAAGAGTACCCATACTATCCCATGGTAAGAACTGCTATGATACATAAGTACTACTTTAACTTCTGTATTATACCTCGGAAGTCGTTCTACTTCTTTCCCTTTTATTTTCAGTGCTTTAAAATTTTTCTCCCAATCATGTACTGTAGAAAGATGCTTTTCCACTAGAGCTTCCATATCAACTTGCCCAATTACAATCCATTCCTATATAAATGGAAAACATATTATTAAAAAAATAGAATAAGTTACCATTTAAAAGATTAGAGTCCAACTATTAAAAACAATAAAAAGGGGCAAATGTGAGGTTTCAAATAAATTTCAGTTTAAGTATATAAATGTAATCATTATCACATAGTCTAAGGAATGAACAGGAAAAAAAAACAATACATAAAAATATACTGATCATAAAACTTTTTTGAAGAGACTGCAAAAAACTTTTTAGACTCTCTTCTCAAGTTTGATGTGTCAAAGACAGAATCACTTCTGCAAAGCCAAGAGTTACTATAGGCAACAAATCCGAAAGTATCCAGATTCAATCAATTCCAGAAAAATAAAATGCAGAAGAAGCACTGCAGCGGTAGTTAAGAAACTTGATGAATTCTCAGTCATATGCCTCAGGATCAATCAAATGAGCAATAAATGCAATAGGGGTTTATCTCTGGAGAGTTAATATGATGCACCTTAACAAAAGTAAGAAATTAAATCATCTCAATTTCATTAACATTGAGGGCTTCCCTCCATGGATTGCTCTCAATCCAAAGAATAAAAAAAAGGATATAGTTTCCTGAAAGGAATTAAAAATGACACAACAGAGTCACATCAAATTCCAAGCTGATACAACATTCAAAAAAGAAAAGAAAGAGAAACTAGCTTCTCAATCTTCAAATAGAGAGAAAAAAAATTTAGGGTAACATTTTTCGCATCTATAGCATAAACCTAGATTGTATATGAATTCTAAACTTTGGCTCTCTGGTTTGCATATTTTTACTTTATGCCACACAAGATAATTTGTTGATTTGTACATTTAATATTAATTCAATCAATCAGATGAATATTACAATAGAAGGACAGAAAATTACATGTTCCATACCTTATGTTGATGTAAAACAGCTGACAATCTTCTAAATAGATCTTCTGCTTTGCTGAAAATAGTCAGAAATCCACTTGCATTTCTATCAATCATGATAGAAAAAATAGATTCATCTCCTGCCTCACCCACTCCCTTAAACTGATTAGGAATGCTGATGAATCTCTTCATTTCTCTATAATATTTAGCCCGAATTTCTTCATAAGGAGGCTTGAATTGTAATCGTCCTTGTCTGAAAGAAAATAAATAACTTTAACATATAAATTATTGGAAAAGTATAGATTGAAAATTAGTTTAAAAAATCTTACTTGTATGTTAAGTCTATATTTATTTCTGGCAGATTCTCATTAAGTGCTTCTAAGCCCATCTGATACTGATGTTCCAGAGCTTTGTACAGTTGATGATTCCAGTGCTGTTTCCACGCATGCATGTCACTTGCTTGGAATCCCTAATATGTTATATTCACATTTTTTATTTAATAATTAGGTGGTAGAATGGGTTTTCATTTAATGCTTTCATATCACATTTGGTAAAATTATAAGCAAAAAAACCCTCATCTTAAATATCTTAAAACATGTAATTCCTTAATTGCTACTTGTATATATAAAGTCAAATATGAAAATCTCTCATCTTTGTGCTTATAAATAGTACACAAAAAGATCAGAAAAATTTTAAAAATCAAGTTAATAGTAAATGCATTTTACATATGGACTTTATTTTATGATCCTATTAAAACAACAACAACAATAACAGGAACAATAGTTTATTTTGTAAATTTCTTAGTCCTTTTTCAAAAATTCCCATCAAGTATAACTCTTCTATTCCCTTCACTCCCTAAATAATCCATTGCACATTTAAAAACATGATACATTTAAAACACAAGAATGCACAGTATAGTTTACATACTTTTTTGCTTCCATATAACCATAAACATATCAATTCTAATACTTTCATTTTTATTTTTTTCTTAAAGTTCTAAGAGCTGAAAAATATATGTAAATGTTTAAGATACTTACCTCATATTCCACTAAGATCCCTTTATCACCTACTAGGTAGACTCTGTGCTAACTACTTTTGTACAGATCATCTCATATCAAAATAAATGTGGAACTGACATTTTACCCAAAATAAAGAAAAAATTCTGAAACAGAGTTATTTCAGTCATTAGGCTTCTGCCTAAACTTAAAGTTGTCACAACAGATGTAACAATCACCTAAAAGAAAACTAACAAATGATAGATATTTTAGCACCATGTCAGAGAAACTATTTACAAAGTCTAAATTGAGGGATCTGGAATTCCATAAGACAAACAGAAACATATTTTTAAACGTAAATGCTTTGCTAATTTATGCTCTTTATATATAATTCAGTCAAATTCTAAATTTATGAGGAATTAATTAGTAAAGATTTACAGATAACCTTTATGAACTTTTCATCAATTCATATATTCACATTCTGAAAAGGTCATATTACAAAGTGTAGACACAAAGTAAAACACACTTTACCTGTGCTTCTACACTTGCTAAGCCAGTTCTTAATTCTTGTAATCCATCTTTCCACCGCTGTTGCTGCCGAAGCAAATCAATGTTCATAAGAACTACCACCTATTAAAAATTAGAACATAATAATTTCAGAAGAAAATCTTGACAGGCACCACCTTACCCAAGTGATAAAGGTTAACTCAACCTATAATAAGACATATCAATACCTGATCAATGTACTGAGAAAGGCAAAATATCACTTCTGTGGTATTCCTACCAAAATTGTATAATCTCAATCTAAAATGAGAAAGCATCATATAAAACCAAATCAAGAGACATTACAGGGGCTTCCCTGGTGGCGCAGTGGTTGAGAGTCCGCCTGCCAATGCAGAGGACATGGGTTCGTGCCCCGGTCCGGGAAGATCCCACATGCCGCAAAGCGGCTGGGCCAGTGAGCCATGGCCGCTGAGTCTGCACTTCTGGAGCCTGTGCTCTGCAACAGAGGCCACAACTGAGAGAGGCCCGTGTACCGCAAAAAAAAAAAAAAAAAAACCCGTGAACCAAAAAAAAAAAAAAAAAAAAAAAAAAAAAAGAGACATTACAAAATAACTGACCAGTACTCATCAAAAGTATCAAGGTCATGAAAAACAAGGTAAGACTGAGGAGTAGAAGACTACAGAGCCTCAACATTTAAATACAAGGTGGGATCCTGGATTGGACACTCAAAAAGAAAAAGGACATCAGTGGAAAAAGTTATAAAATTCAAAACAGTTTATTTCCTAGTTTTGATAAATGTACTATGGTTACATAAGTTGATGACAATAGGGAAAGCTGGGTGAAGGGCAAGTGTGAACTCTTTAAACTATTTTTGCAACTTTAAGTCTCAAATTATTTCCAAACAGGCAGTTATTTAAAATTATAACCTAATTACTTTTAAAATAATACTATTCATAGCTTATTAAATTTTATAAATAAAATATACCTTTTCACAAAATGTAATGTGCCATTTTCTCAGTCTTCTATTTTCAGTGGCAAGTCGTTCAGCAGCATTTTGGAGTTTTTGGATGTAGCCTTCTAATTCTTTAGGATTATTCCAAGTAATTTGTGACTTTCCCCCACTTCCTGCTTTTGAATTCTAAGGTACAACAAATGACATTTAGTATTTAACACATTTCTTTTTTTGAAAAGATTCAATATTCTACATCATTAGTCCAATTATCCCAACACTGACCTGCAATGAAAGAGCACACAATAGTTTTTCCCATTTTATAAATGATAAGGCATTCTGACCAGAATTGATTAGTCCCATTCCTTCCAAGTTCTCCCTCTTACAACTAAAATACCCTGGACATAACACAACAAACAAGCATAGGAATACTAGAAATAAGAAGGTGGACAGCCTAGAAACCTTGGGAATTGAGGAACAACACACCTGGGTTTCCTTAATGTCTCCCTTATATCCCGGACAGGATGCTGGAGAAGCCTCCAACCTGGAACCACCCCCAGACACAGACAAAAAACCTCCAGAAGAAGCCTGTTCCCTCTCTCCACAGGACCAGAAAAACAGTGGCCTAATGACAGAAAACCTTTTTAGCAATAAGCACCCTACTCCAACTCAACACCAATAGAAACCCACCCCCTTCTTCAGTTTCATTGGGACCAGGAAGTGAGCTGATCTTCCATCCCCTGCTTATGTTAGTGGGGCTTAACAGAGAGCTGAGCCTCTACCCCCATTACGCTGCAACAGAGCAGTGTGAATCAGCCCTCCACATCCTCCCAATCATGTCAACAGAGCTTAGAAGGGAGCTAGGCTTACACTCTACTTGGAGGCAACAAGACACTGCCAACTGGAGTCCCACTTTCGTGGGAAGGTGTCAGTAGGGGAAAAGAGGCCACTAAACTTCAACTCCACTCATCTGAAAAGGAAGCAGTGCAAGTCAGTGTTCCATTTTTGTCAGGATGGTATCTGCAGAGCCCAGCAGAAATTTTAACATATCACTCACCCTGTCCTAAAGCTGTACCTCACTGTTTCAGAAAAAAACAACACATCACTTAGAAAGGAATGCAAATTTGAATGGCAGTGGATTTCTCAGCTGAAACCATGAGGGCCAGGAGGAAGTGGAACAACATTTTAAAGTGCTAAAAGAAAACAACTGTCGGGCTTCCCTGGAGGCACAGTGGTTAAGAATCCGCCTGCCAATGCAGGGGACCCGTGTTCGAGCCCTGGTCCGGGAAGATCCCACATTCCATGGAGCAACTAAGCCCATGCACCACAACTACTGACCCTGCGCTCTAGAGCCCATGAGCCACAACTACTGAAGCCCATGAGCCTAGAGCCCATGCTCCACAACAAGAGAAGCCACCGCAATGAGAAGCTCACGCACTGCAACAAAGAGCAGCCCCCACTCGCCGCAACTAGAAGAAAGCCCATGTGCAGCAAGGAGAACCCAATGCAGCCAAAAATAAAAAAATAAAATAAAATAAATGAAACATTAAAAAAATAAAATAAAGTAACTTAGAAACAATTGCTCTAAAACAAAAAGAAAACAGACAACAGCTGTCAACCATGAATTATATATCTGGTGAAAATATCCTTCAGGAATGAGGGAAAATAAAAACATTCTTAAACAAAAACAGAGAATCTGTCACTAGCAAACCTACTCTTAAAAGTATGGCTAAAGGAAGTTTTCTCAATAAGAAGGAAATGATTTTTTTTTAAAAGCGTGGAACTTTAGAAAGGAAAAAAGAACACTGGGATGTGGAAAACATAAATAAAAAACTATCCTTCTCATGAGTTTCTGAAATCATAATTGCTGATTGAAGCAAACCCCATCTGATGCAGTGTTTCATGTATGTAAAGGTTACTAAATATTTAAGACAAATATATAAAAATGAAGAGGATAAAGAGACCTAACTAAAAGTGAGGTTTCTATACTTCACTTGAACTGGTATATATTAAGGCATAGCAAGTATCTGGCATATTGTGACCCTCAATAAACAGTTGATGAATGAATGAAACTAAACAAATATAATAAATTCAATAAAATACTCTGTGAATCAGTTCAAAAAATATTTACTGAATAATTACTACACACTACTTACTGTTGTATTACTAGAGTATAAAAATAAATAAATTAGAGTTCCTGCTCTCCAATATAGAGAGTGTCCAGGGGAGTATTAAGAACTTTAGTGTTCCTTCTCCTCCTATCTTAGTTTTTGTCCCCTACTATGTCTCATTTAACATATGCTAAATATAATTATTTACTTCTCGCAACCCAATTTCTCAAAATAAGCTTCCTCTTTAGAAATATCAACAGATGTAATTTTGAATACATTTATTAGAAAAGCAAGGGCTCTGAACACTGTGATTTAAAACATTATCTATTAGGTGAAAAAGTTTAAAAATAATAAAGTATTAACCCATTTTCAAAAAGTACACTTGTAAATATGCACAGAAAAAAAAGTTTAAAATGACATATACACTGTTAAAAATGGCCAACTCTTAGTAGTACAATCATAAAACATTTGTTCTTTCTGTTTACCTATATTTTTGAAACTTTTCATCATAAACTCATGTTGAGCTTTGGCAATAAGAAAAAAATTTTAATAACATCTATAATATGAATTATATAACTTCTAGTAAATTTTAAGCCTGAGAACTAGTGTGCATTAAAAAGTTAACTTAGCAGGTCTGACTGCTTATCCCTTAAAAGGTCTGCTTAAAATATTGGCCCTTAGCTGGCATCTGAGAACTTGGATTTTGGAAGAGTTCCCACCACTCTAATTTTTAAGAGTGGCTCACTGTACCTAAACAATATGGTTTATGCTGAACACTTGATTGTCTTCTGGGAATCTGGAATTTTGGTACATATTAAGGCAGAAGATACCTACATGACCAGTCCCCAACAAAAGCCTGGGCAATGATCTTTCCTAGTAAAGCAATATTTCACATGTGTTACTTCTTGCTGGAGAAATTAAGCATGCCCTGGGTGATTACATTGGGAAAGGATTCTTGAAAGCTTGCACCTGGTTTCCCCAGGACTTCACCCCATGTACCTTTTCCTTTGCTGACTTTGCTTTGCCTCCTCTCACTGTAATAAATCATAAGTAAATCATCTGTGAGTACAACTATACCCTGAGGCCTATGAGTCCTCCTAGTAAATCACAGAACCTGGGGGTGGTCTTGATAACCATGACACAACTAGCTATCTACTTTAAATAAAAGAAGAATTAATGGGTATATCCCTCTTCTACTTATCTTTTAAAATATTTCATGTCTCTGAAGACTAAAAATGTTTATTTCAAAAAGTGAGCAGTCACATACTAACAGTTTAAAAACTAGTGTGGGTTTTCCTAATTTCATATGTGTGGATATTTAAATAAGCATAGATAAAGAGCAAATAAAACTTAAATTATAAAATCAGGAGATGATGGAAAAGCACTAAAGAGTCTTGTATATAAGGACCTCGTACTTCAGTGAATAAGTAAATATAATAGCATACAAGTTTGTATACAGTAAGTCCCCTACATACGAACGAGTTCCATTCCGAGAGCACGTTCATAAGTCCAATTTGTTTGCAAATCCAACAAAGTTAGCCTAGGTACCCAACTAACACAATCGGCTATATTGTACTGTACTGTAATAGGTTTATAATACCTTTCACACAAATAATACATAAAAAACAGACACAAAAAATTAAAAAAACATTTTTAATCTTAGCAGTACAGTACCTTAAAAAGTACACTAGTACAGTACAACAGCTGGCATAAAGGGGCTGGCATTGAGTGAACAGGCAAGAAGAGTTACTGACTGGAGGAGGGAGAACTGGTGGGAGATGGTAGAGCTGAAGGATCATCAGCAACAGGAGCCGGAAGGCAAGCTGCAGTTTCACTCATGCAGGATGTTGATGGAACACACGTTCACATCTTTGAAAGTTCCCAACTTGAAGGTTCATATGTAGGGGACTTACTGTACTATATATATATAAATATATATATATAAATTCAATTGATCAAAATCAGCACCAAAATACGTGAAACATTATAACTGTTTAAATCTACAGTTGTAAAAAATGTTACTTGTTAAGACTGAAGGAAGTCACTGGGGAGCGAAATAAAGCCTTAGATCAATGGCTGTGTTAAGCTGAAGGGTATACAAAAAAACTAAGAAATAAGAAACACTTCACATATAAAATCTAATTATAATAGCATAAAAAGTCCATTTACCTTAATTATCTGTTCAAACGCTAAGGCAGATTGTAACATCATTGGTCTCTGACTTTGAATCATTTGTTGATCGATAGAATTATAAAAATGTGCCACCTACAAAGTAAAATTCCAATTAGGAATAATTAATAATAAATAGCAACTTAATTTGAAATTTTTCATTTTTAATTATTTGAATGGAAATATTAACTCTTCTCAATTATAAAATTTAGCAAAAAATTAGCTTTTTATCTCCAATAGAGCACTTACACATGTATTAACATACAAAAGCAGCAAGTGTAAGTATGTGCTGAGTTCCTATAATCTGCCAAGTCATGTTCTCGTGGGTGATTAAACAAAGACTATAAAACCTAGTCCCTGGAATCAAGAAGTTCACAGTCTCATAGGGAACACAGAGGAAATCAGTAAAGCATGTTAAAGTGCTAAAAAAGTGAACTTATTCTTGCAACTCTAAGAACCTTTTCCTTCGTCAGTATATAACACAATGATTTACCCATTTCTCAGACCAAAAAAAACCTTTTTGTCCTTAATGCTTCTCTCACATCCCACACAAGTAGAAGTCTATTGACTGTGCCTTCAAAACATATATTGAATTCAACCACTTCACCCACCTCCATCAATCCCACCCCAATTCAAGCACCCTCATCTCCTGGCAAGACCAGTGCAGCAGTATCAGAACTGGTCTGTTTCCAACTGTGGCCCTATGGTCTATTCAAAGCATTCAGAGTAGCCAGAATAGTCCTTTCTTAAACATAAATCGTATCATACCTTTAGCCTATTCAAAACTTTCAAATGACTCCCCAAAATATTTGAGAATAAAATGTAAAATCCTAAAATTCTTACCTGAAACCTTCCAATGGTTTCCCAACACACTTAAGAATGATATCCAAATCTAAAATCCTTACCTTGGCACATTATACATAAACTGGCCTTTAGCCCCGCACAAACCCCTCCCTAATTGCACTGCAGTGAAATTGGCCTCCTTGCTGTTTACCTAACTCTAGAGTCTTCCCTAAGAAACTCTGAAAGTCATTCATTCCCTCTGCCTGCAACAGTCTTCCTCCAGATATTTGCATGGTTCTTTCGCTCATTTTATGCCATGTCTCTTCTCAAATATTACATTTTCATTAAGGCCTCCCCTGGCGATTCTGTATAAAATAGCAGTATTTGTCACAGTCCTATTATTGTTTTCTTTTCCTTCAAATATGTGCTTATCACTACCTAACACTGTATTATTCATGCATTTGCTATCTATGTCCCGTAATAGTGTCACTCAGTAAACGTCATTCATTGAATTAATCAATGAATCAAAAAATAGAGATACCTACAAGGTACCACGGTGGACAAAAGAGGACACTGCCAACTCTTTCAGGGAAAAAGGACAGGTCAAGGAAGAAGATCAAGTGGATACCGTGGAGTGAGTTTAATTAAGGACTTTAAGAAGACTGTCTTAATTTTTATATCCCTAGCATGTCAAAAATTCTTGGCACAGAGCAGGTGCTTAAAAATGTTTCTTAACTAATTTTATAGCAAGTCACTTCTTTCCACTAGTATGTATAAAAATATACTTTATTTCGTGGGGAATAACCACTCTATTTGTTCTGTACCACAACAGTAAGTCCCAGAAAAAGCCCAATCAGGAAAACTAGAAACAAAATAATACATAAAATTATAGCAATCTGGCCATACTGTTTTCTATCCAACATCCTACTTCATAGCCCCCACTCTAACTAAATGTGTGCTCATAAGTAAAGGTATACACAATACATTCTCCCAGTTGCTCTTCCAGGGGTAAATACAAATACTATATGATCATTCAAGCATCTTTTGAGCTTTTATTTTGTTAGACTAAATGCTTAGGATAGAGAAGTCAGCAAGCCTCTCTGCTTTGGAATATATACTCCCTCTACCTGAAATGATCACTCACACTACCTTGTGCTCTTAAGAAAACATACGTATGCTCTTTCAAACTCACATTAAACATCATTCCTCTGTAAAGATTTATCTGATACTATCTCTACTCTACCCAGGAAAATAATTGAAAATTCCCACCTCTATGCTTTCACAGGACTTTCTGAACATCTATCTATAATACAGTATTCATTAAATACTGTATCTACTTGTTCACTATCTGTCATCACTATATGAACTGTAATGAAATAAATATGGGCTTTGGAGTCAGGGAGACTTGGTATTAAATCCTAACTTCATAACTTACTAGCTGTGTAGTACTGGGAAAACTATGTTACGAATCTGATCCCCAATTAGATCAGTGAAAAATGGGGGTGGGGGTAATTGAAATAACATAAATACAGTATCTACCAGAAGCCCTGATATTTAATGAGAACTCAATGTTTAGTTTGCTTTCTCCCACTAGACCAGTGGTAATCAACCATGGCTGATTTGCACCCAAGGGGACATTTGGCAATGCCTGGAGATATTTTTGATTGTCAGGACTAGGTAGGTGCTACTGGCCAGGGATGCTGCTAAACATCCTACAATGCACAGGACATCCCCCACAAAAAAGAAGTGGTCCAAAAGTACCAACGCTGAGAAACCTTGTACCAGAGTGTGGCAGTAATATATTCATTTTTATATCCTCACTACACTGTGCCTGGCAGTACAAGTGCTCAAAGAATCTTTATTGGATGAAAGAATGAGAAACCAAATACTCACAAGATACTGTTCCTAAGCTCTAAGATCTATTAATCAAATGAGAGAAAAAATATAAAACTCCAATACTACATAAAAGTGTTCTGAGTGATTTGCACACTGCACACAAAATAAGGAACAATCAATTAAAAGGACACAACAATTAAAGTGAGTTGGGAATTAAAGGATAACTTGGAGTTCTTCAATCAGAGGGAAGAGGTATCAGTGCATAATGACAAGATCAGAGACGAGCCAAGTTTCATATTACTAAAGCACAGGGTGCAGCATGAGAGGGAAGGTATAGGGAGTGAAGGCCACAATCAGTAAGGTCAGCTAGGGTATGATTAAGAAGGGTCTTGTATACGTGCTAAGGAGAGAGACAATGAGGTAATAATAGTTGGTTCCGACTCACTCCAATTCTGTTCAAGCCACCAGACTGCCTTGTGCCTGCCCTGGACTCTCCAGAAAGATCCAGCATATACACCAGAAATACATCTACACGTGGAACAACTCCTACAAAACACCTACTGAACGCTGGCAGAAGACCTCAGACCTCCCAAAAGGCAAGAAAGTCCCCATGTACCTGGGTAGGGCAAAAGAAAAAAGAATAAACACAGACAAAAGGATAGGGACGGGACCTGCACCAGTGGGAGGGAGCTGTGAAGGAGGAAAGGCTTCTACACACTAGGAAGCCCCTTCGTGGGCGGAGACTGCGGGAGGCGGAGCGGGGAGCTTCGGAACCGCGGAGGAGAGCACAGCAACAGGGGTGCGGAGGGCAAAGCGGAGAGATTCCCGCACAGAGGATCGGTGCCGGCACTCACCAGCCCAAGAGGCTTATCTGGTCACCCGCCGGGGTGGGCGGGGCTGGGAGCTGAGGCTCGGGCATTGGTCGGAGCACAGGGAGAGGACTGGGGTTGGAGCACAGGGAGGGGACTGGGGTTGGCGGCGGGAAAACAGCCTGCAGGCGGTTAGTGCACCATGGCTAGCCAGAAGGGAGTCCGGGGAAAAGTCTGGACCTGCCAAAGAGGCAAGAGACTTTTTCTTCCCTCTTTGTTTCCCGGTGCGCGAGGAGAAGGGATTAAGAGCGCTGCTTAAAGGAGCTCCAGAGACGGGCGCGAGCCGCGGCTAAAAGCGCGGACCCCAGAGAACAGATCACTATCCACACCCCCCTTCTGGGGAGCCTGTGCAGCCCGCCACTGCCAGGGTCCCGGGATCCAGGAACAACTTCCCTGGGAGAATGCACAGCAGACCTCAGGCTGGTGCAACGTCACGCTGGCCTCTGCCGCCACAGGCTCGCCCAGCACTCCGTACCGCTCCCTCCCACCGCCCCCCACCCCCGACCTGAGTGAGCCAGAGTCCCGGAAGCAGCTGCTCCTTTAACCCTGTCCTGTCTGAGCTAAGAACAGATGCCCTCCGGCGACCTACACGCAGAGGCGGGGGCCAAATCCAAAGCTGAGCTCCAGGAGCTGTGAGAACAAAGAAGAGAAAGAGAAATCTCTCCCAGCAGCCTCAGAAGCAGCAGATTAAAGCTCCACAATCAACCTGATGTACCCTGCATCTGTGGAATACATGAATAGACAACGAATCATCCCAAATTGAGGAGGTGGACTTTGAGAGCAAGATTTATTTTTTCCCCTTTTCCTCTTTTTGTGAGTGTGTATGTGTATGCTTCTGTGTGAGATTTTGACTGTATAGCTTTGCTTCCACCATTTGTACCAGGGTCCTATCTGTCCTTTTTTTTTTCCTTTTAAAATATTCTTAATAATTATTTTTTATTTTAATAACTTTATTTTATCTTACTTTATTTTATTTTATCTTCTTTCTATCTTTCGTTCCTTCCTTCCATCCCGCCTTCCTTCCTCCCTCTCTCCCTCCTTTCTTACTTCTTTCTTTTTCTTTCCTTCTTTCCTTCTTTCTCTTTCTTTCTTTCTTTTTCTATCTTTCTTTTTCTCTTTCTTTCTTCCTTTCTTCCTTTCTTTCTTTCAACTTTCTCTCCCTTTTATGCTGAGCCATGTGGATGAAAGGCCCTTGGTGCTGCAGCCAGAAGTCAGTGCTGTTCCTCTGAGGTGGGAGAGCCAACTTCAGGACACTGGTCCACAATAGACCTCCCAGCTCCACATAATATCAAACAAAGAAAATCTCCCAGAGATCTCCATCTCAACACCAGCACCCAGCTTCACTCAACAACCAGCAAGCTACAGTGCTGGACACCCCATGCCAAACAACTAGCAAGACAGGAACACAACCCCACCCATTAGCAGAGAGGCTGCCTAAAATCATAATAAGTCCACAGACACTCCAAAACACACCAACAGACGTGGATCTTCCCACCAGAAAGACAAGGTCCAGCCTCATCCACCAGAACACAGGCACTAGTCCCCTCCACCAGGAAGCCTACATAACCCACTGAACCAACCTTAGCGACTGGGGATAGACACCAAAAA